AATCACCAATGACCGTACATTTTCCTCGTGTGCACTGAAAAAGTCGTGCGCGGCAAGCCGCGACATACGGCTATCCGAGAACATTCACACTACTCTTTCCTGTCAGATCCTCTCCGTTTTGATCTTCTCTTATCCGTCGCTTTGCAAGCGACTAGTTTCGAGTTTCTTCTCGGGGCGCACCATATTCCGCGTGCCACACGTCTCGACGTTAGATGATAAAAGTGAGACAAATAAAATACGACGGTGTCAACCTCGATCTTGTAATAACGGATGTAACAACGATAATGATAACAATGGTAATAACGCGATACGTGAATTACGTTCTCTCGGTAAAAAAAAAAAAAATTGAGAACGTTTAAACGTCGTTAGCGCGTTTCGAAGAACGCGCCTTGTCGAACCTAACCTCGATTAAGCGCAAGAGCACCCGAACACCGGCGCGGAGACTGGCGCGACGTACACTGACGGTGGCTCACGATTCGCGCGCTTTTCCTCTCCTCTCTCTCTCCCTTTCGTTTCGTCCTCGTACGGCGGCGTACGTCACGCCGTAGTACATCACGATATACTTCGCTGCCGCTGATGGTGCTGCTGCTGCTACAGTGGCGGTGCGGCAATAGCCAGAGACGAGGATTCTATCTTTCTCTCACCCCTCTCTCTCTCTCTCTCTCTCTCTCTCTCTCTCTCTCTCTCTCTCTCTCTCTTTCTTTCTCGCACGCGCTATCTCGAAAGACGAGAGAGAGGGTACAAGTAGCGCCTGTGGCGCGACTTCGAAATTCAAACGGAGCACGCGAGCCCGCCACACTCTCTCTCTCTCTCTCTTTCTCACTCGCGAGACCTAACCTCTCCGTGGTCTGTCAGAAAGAACATGCGACTTTACGCGTCCGATATCTCAAGCGGTATTAGTAACGGTAGTTGTGACGATTTACTCCTCGACGACTCATCCTATGCTACCATAAATAAACACGATACTTCGGTGAGCCGGCAAAACTGGACGGTTCGTTTGGACGGATAGGTTGGCTCGTTGTAGGATGGATATAGGAAACGAAGTCGTCGCGAAAGATTATACAGAAACTAAAAACATGAATCGAAAGAGACAGAGAGAGAAAAAGTAAGTGAGGAAGGAAGGGCAAAGGAGAGATGGAAGGAAAAATAGAAGGGATAACGAGGAAAAGCGAGATGAAGGAGCGAAAAGCGTACGAGGAGGGAAGGGGGAAGCTTGGCGTCGGGGTGTTACGTTTGCGGGTGGAAAAGGACAACCACCAGGGCCGTGCGAGCAACCTCGTGGACATGCGAGTGCAGACTGATTGGAGCATGGAGTATGAGGGTACTTACCCACGAGCCCTGAGTACGGCGGCGGAGGTGGCGGTGGAGGTGAGGTGGAGGCGTGGAGGCACCGACCGGCGGCGGTGGTGACGTGCGCGCGTGTTTTCCGCCGCCATGACTGGCGCCACTGTAGCACTTCTCGAACGAGTACGCAGGCGCGGGATGCGCACTCGTTCTATGCGCATCTGACTTGTCGCGACATGCGAGCTTCAATCGCGCGTTGTCCGTGCAACCGGTAGCGTCTTGAGATTTTCATCTCCTCGACTTCTTCTCCAAACAAGTTAATTTTCTCTTCTTCTCTTCGTCTCTAATCTCCTTCTCTCTTTCAAAAATTATTTTACGATTTTCTGCTTCTAACACTTTCTCAATAGCTCCTTTACGACTCAAGATTTAGCCATTTAGAAGACATTTCGAGTTTATTTTTTAATTAAATGTAAGCAATAGTTTACCACATATTTCTTTTCATTTACTATGTATTGTTATTACTAGCTTTTCAGTATGAATGAAAGGTGTACGTGAGAATTGAATGTATAATCGTTAGAGATTTCATTATATTTTTGTATTATATAACCTTCCAGATCTAAAAAAAAAAAAAAAAAGACGATGAACACATATTTAATTATATAAAAATTTTAAATATGTAATATCATGACTTATTGAATTATTTCATAAATTGAACCATTTCATTATTATGCCTCCTGTTATGAATGGATCTTTGAGATATACAGATATCAATATGACTTCATTTCTCGAAATATTTTTAATAGCATTATAAAAATCATCTTAAAAATTCGTTATGCAGATAGATGGCGTACGTGCATGGTCAAAGGTACAATATAATGTGTTACCGACATTATCCAAGACGAATTTTCACGCATTTTATTCATTTATCCAAGTAGATGGCACATTCGCATTTAGACACGTTACCGACATCAGATAAGAAATAGCATTCTTACTCGCTATTGTCACTTAGTTTGATAATGTCGCGTATGACTTTACCAGTAAAATAATTTACACCAACAAATAAAACAGAAAGTTTAAAATAATTAAAATTAATATTAAAGATTACATGTAAAGGTAGGTTATAAAGATTGCTAGATATAATAAACTTATAATTGAAAAATTTTTATACAATTTTGACCAATATACTAGGTATTTATACAATTACACATTTTACATATACGCATCGTACAGGACTAAAGAAACTTGCATTTGAATATACGAGAAGAAATAGTTTTAAAATTAATAATGGTTTTCAGTCTTACATTACAAATATTACAAACATCGAATATAAATAAAAGGTAAAAAAAGTATTTTTATAATATACAATGTTACACAAGGAAAACAAAAATTGTTCAGTAACAATTTTCTATACACCCACGAAGCAATCTTTCATTGTTTAATTAATTCATAAACTTTATAAATCGCGATCCTTTAAAACTATTAAATAAGTTAAAAATTATGCTCTATAGCATTATATAATTCAAGATATAAATTATCATATGATGATCGAACATTAAAGGTGAAATTGAAGATTTAATATTTCCAATAAGGAGACATATACGTTAAGTTAATTGACTTACGACCACAAATTCTGCCTTCTTCAAGCTAAATGTCTATTTCTTTAACTTTGAACAAAAAATATTGGAGGAAAAATAAAAAACTTTTTAATAATATTAGCCATACTGTATAAGATTCAAAAGAGCATCTACATTCTCTTTTTCTGCCTCTTCCTGTGGAATAACTTGTGTAACATCTTGATTTAAAAGAACTTGTTCTATGAGAACAGTTTCTGTATCTACTTCTTCTACAGTTGTAATATCTTCTCTTGATTCTTCTTCTGTATTACTATTTTTTCCTCCATTCTTCTTCTGTTTCGTTCTTGGTCTATCGTTATGAATTTTCATATGACGTCTCAAATCATATTTCCCTACAAAACGCGCATTGCAAATTTCACAACCAAAAGGTTTGCCACTAGCATGAGTCCACATGTGACGTCTTAATGCTGCACTAAATGTAAATGCAATTCCGCAAACGTTACAAATGTAAGGTTTTTCTCCTGTATGTATAAGACTATGATCTTTTAATGTAGCTCTTTGATTAAATCTCTTCCCACAAACTTCACATGTATAACTTCTGGGATTCGAATGAATTCGTAAATGATTCAGAAGGTTCCCTTGTTGCGAAAAACGTCTACTACATACATTACATTTAAATGGTTTTTCTCCTGTATGAACACGCATATGAGTCTCAAGAGTACGATTATTCAAGAATCGTTTACCACAAACTGTACATGGGTATTTTGGTAAATGAAGACCTTGAGGATCCAAATGTGTAATTAAGTGTCTTTTGTAATTACCTTTATGGTTGAACATACGTGGACATTGACTACATGCATAAGGTGCTCCATGTACATGTGTTACAATGTGATTTTCTAATTCTAATTTTGTTTTAAACCTTACACCACATTTTGGGCAACGATGTCTTGGAAAATCAGTATGACAAACCATGTGCCGCTTTAAATATCTCTTTAAGGTATACGCTTTATTACATATGAAACAAGAATATGGAAATTGTCCTGTATGTGTTTTTACATGAGTTCTTAATTCTCTGTGACTATCGCAATCCTTCTCACAAACAACACAAAAGAATGGACCACTACTTGGAATATGATTATCAATAGTATGAAGTAAAACACCTGTAAGCTTATCATAATTTTGCGAACATAAAGTACACTGATATTGTATTGTATTATTCTCAGTTTTTATTTCTTTGATCCTAGTTATTGTATCATTTAAACTTCCTAAAATATTATCTTTAGGATCAATGAAGTAATCTGAATCAGTATCATCGCTTTCTCTTAAATCCACATTCTCTGTTGTATTACAATCTTGTTGGATGTCAAGCTTCATTTTATCCTCCTGCTCTATTATTACTGATTTATCTGTTGCTACCAATTGCCAAGTTTCATTTTCAATGTTTTTAATGCTCTTTGATTCCGTATTATCAGATATATATATTGTATCTAAAAATTCGTCATTTGTACTAGATTTTTCAAAATTCTCTTTACAAAATGATGGTTTAATACTATTTTCATCTTTTGGCTTGCAAGGATTATTATGATCCTCTGATTTGATAGAATCCATTACTGTATCTCCTATATATACTACTGTACGATTTAAATCGTGTGAACTAAGAGTATTATAGAATTGATTGACTAATTCACTTTTAATACTATATAATTTACCTTGCTGATCAACATTGATGATCTTATTTAAATGATCTGGAATCTTATCTGTTTCATTACTCTGATTCAAATCCATAAATGATATTATTTCTAAAGATTGTTCTACTTCATCTTTGCTTACTTTAATCTCCTTATTTAATTCATCATTAATAGAACTTGCGTAATTAACAGAAACTGTTTCAGAAGAATCGAACGAACATTTCTTTTCTGCTGATTCTTTGCTTAACATTATAGAATCTTGTTCATTTTCATTTTCTTCAATTTCTTCCTAATGAAATTTAATAGAAACAAAATGATTATATATTTATATATTATATAAATATAATCAATGTAGATGCAGAAAATTACCTTGATATCCTCCATTTGTGTATCAAACATCTTTCTAAGTTTTTCTTCTGTCGCTTGTACTTGTAATTTAAAATCATAAAATGCAACAGTCCGATAAGCACATTTGGCGCAAAGCATGTTTGGTAGTCCATCATACCTATCAATCTAATCGAAATAATTTTCAATGCATATTAATTTTATACAAAACATTGTTATATATAAATGATTTTGTGTTAATTTTTTGAGGTTATAAATTTTCAATTAATATCTGATCTTTATAAAAAATGTTATCTTAATATAGTACAAAGATAAAAGAAAAAATTTTATAGGCTTCGTTAAATGATTTTCACATTTTTTTTCCTGCTAACCTGAACAGAGGTAAGTTCAGTAAGTTTTTCAGGCAAATTTTTGCTACTAATAGTGTCGTCATCATACATTGGCAAAAGTACACCATCAATTTTCATGCATGCACGACACATATTCCTGCAGCAAACTTCCCAGCTCATCGTTGAAATTTTCAAATAATTATGAAGAGACACTTGAATAAGACTACCTTCGTAGAAATATAAACAAATACATTTCACATTTCGCGGTCAAACCATTCGATGATCTACATTACGTCCGATATATGTGTAGTCATAGGTTATGTGTTTAACATAACATATCTTACATAATACACCAGGCAAAATCGGTAAATAATTTTTCTAAAACGTATAAATACGTTTTTTCATTTATTCGATATACAAAATTATCATAATCGTTGTAAATCTTATTTTTCTTCTTTTTTCCTTTTCTCATAACATTTTACAATGTCATAATAGATCATTTATATTTCTTATGTAGCACAAATTTAAAACGATCATATATAAGTGAACCTATAAGGTCGCACTTGAAAGCCGGATTGTAAGCTCCAATGAATTTTAATTGGTCAATATTATTTTAACGTATCGTCATTGGTCATTCATAAATTTATCCTTTCGTTATTGGTTGTAATAGTTCAGATTAGAAAAAAATAATAATATGAATCGTGCCTTAAGCTTCATAGATGTTTCTGGTTAGTAGTCAACGTGATAACCAGCGGTTGCCAGTTTAAAGAACATGGCTGAAAACAATGACTGCAGTTATTGAGCTAACTCTACGATTTCTTCGCACTTGTCAACAAAGACATTAATATTGAAGCGGTAATAAAGTGAAAAATACATTATAGTTAAAAGTAAGTATTTTCCTACGAATATTTCGATTAACCCTTCGTCTATAAATTGATTTATTTAAACTGTTGTACTAGTTTTGTCAACATAGATGTAATAGTATCCGTTTCCTCTTTAGAGACGCTGTCATCTAAAATTTTAATAATTAAAACATTACTTATATTTAAAAATTGTTCTCACTTGATAAATATTTTGCATGCTCGCTTTGTATGTGTAATACTTGAAAAATAAATTTTTTTTAAGGATCTATAGACCTTGAGTCACTCCTCATTTCTTCATCGAATTCTGTAATATTTCTTAAAATGAAATAAAATGCATAAATTATATTAGGATTTAAATATTTTCGAAAATTCGATAATAATATATCAATCATGCGATTATCTAAGTCGTATATATTTATAAACGATTTACAGTATTTAAAACTTAGTATTTTTTTAAATATTTTTTAACTCGTCCTCATGTGTAAAATAATCCTATTCTATACAGATACATATCGTGATAATATTCTAAAAAAAATATTTCTAAATGAATTAATTTTATTAGAGAATATGCTGATTATATATTGCTATCTTATATTACGTTCTTTTAATTCTCATGATTCAGACTGCTGCTATATCTCTAAGATAATATTCATGTAATATCATAACCAACAAACATTCCATAATTGAATATAATAAAAGATGTTATTTCTGATTTTTGATATATATTTCTTTCGTCAGTCTTATTTGTATTTTACCTGTTAAAATTAATATGATATATATATGTGTGTGCGTGTGTGTGTGTGTATATATATGTATATATATGTATATACATGTATATGCATGTATATATACATAACATACGATATATTTATAAATTATTAATTATTTAAAATATTAAAGGATAAAATATTTTATAAATATTTTCAATTTTGTTTTAGGTATATAATATTATGGCAACTGCTATTCAAAAAAATAGCATGAAACCTTTAACAAATAGATCTTTAAATCATGTAGAAAATGTAGACAATTTAAATAACAGTGATATATGTACTGAAACAAAAGATAATGGACTCTTTAAAGAAGAAATTGAAACATGTATGACTGAATCAGAACAAGAAACACCTGAGCTTGATATTGTTATTAATAATGTAGTTTGTAGCTTTAGCGTAAGATGTCATCTTAACTTAAGAGAAATTGCACTTAATGGCTCAAATGTTGAATACAGAAGAGAAAATGGAGTAAGTAGAGATATTTTTCTATTTCAGCTAATTAAATAATATTTCTATATAACAAATGATTTGATTATGATTTTAATATAAAGAGGAATCATAACAATATCTTTTAATTTTTTGATACTAATCAGTTAAATATAGATTAAAATTTATTTTTAATCTAAAATCACATTTTCGTATAAAATTTCCAGATGATCACAATGAAATTGCGGAGACCATATACCACTGCTTCAATTTGGTCTTCAGGAAAAGTAACTTGTACTGGTGCAACTAGTGAAGTTGAAGCAAAAATAGCAGCACGTAGATTTGCACGTTCTCTTCAAAAATTGGGCTTTAAGGCACGGTTTAATAATTACAGGGTGGTTAATGTGTTAGGTACATGCTGTATGCCATTTGATATCAAAATAACATCGTTTTCAATATATCATAAAGAAAATGCTGAGTAGGTATATTTTATCATTAATGCAAATGTATCTAAAATAAAGTAAGATTTTAATTTTGGTACGTAGTAAGATATATCATATTTTAGCTATGAACCAGAATTACATCCTGGTGTAACATATAAATTGAAAGAACCAAAAGCAACATTAAAAATATTTTCTACTGGAAGTGTTACAGTAACTGGTAAATAATTGACTAATCCAATACATTATGGAGCAAATCATCTTTCCTATCATTAAATATATACATAATATTTCAGCTCCCAATGTTGCTGCTGTTCAAGCAGCAATAGAATATATCTATCCGCTAGTCTATGAATTCCGCAAAGAACGTTCAGTAGAAGATAAGTTGGCATTGGAAACAAAGAAACGCAGATTAAGTAGGAAGAGAAATCAAGAAGAGTTCCTACGTGACACTGGTCTATTATATGATCCTATGTTTTCTCCATCTTCATCTTCTGTTGATGAGGAAGTTGACAGTGATGCCAGTTGGGACTGAACTGTTTATCTTATTATTTTTTTGTTGAGTATAAAACAATCATGTGTATATTTCGTTCAATTAAGAACGATTACAAATTGCACTGGACAATTGCTGCTGCTAAGAGTGAAGTGATGCATAATTCATTTTCTTAGTGTCTGACAAGTGCGTGAGTGTCAAAGACAATAGTGTACATTTATGTGCACTTTAATCTGTAATTATCTTTGCACGTATCAATCTGACTGACTTATGTTTTTAAAATTACATCCCTCATATTTTCATTCTACCACAATATATTAGGTATAAACATCTCTCTTAGGCATATATGGAACATGTCATTCTTATGTATACTATCATTCAATTTTGAAAAGAATATTTGGGATGTATTTAGTAATATTTCTGACAAGACTTAGTTCATATAAGGGATCACTCGTTTGTATTTATGCTTTTAAGAATTATAAAAATTAAAATTAGGTAATAGAAAAGATATACATATATACGTTCTAATAATTCAGATTGCATCAAACGGACAATCTTTGGGCTATGCAGACAAGTGCCACCATAATTGATTGGTGATATGTATATTCTTTTTTTTTTTTTTTTTTTGTTCTATTTTTTTTTTACATACAGATTTGTCTGTTTACGTTTAATGAACGTATACTGTGCCAAAGATGGATGTTCAAAATTTGATGTTACAATTGAAAAACATGGAAAACTACAAATTTATTTCACTGCTGTAACATTTAGCTTTTTCATTAATATAGTCTGCTTTAATGAATATAATAGTATTTTAATATAATAATCTATATTTTGCGATGTTTCTAGAAAGAGTATATAATATCGTTGATTCATCAGACTGTATCAAGCAAAAATACTATATATATATTTAAGTTTGTATAATCAACATTAATAATAGCCCATTCTCGATCAAACACACGACAGATTTATTTAATACATTCAGATCAAACAGTTATCTACAATGTACCATTGCTATCATTATCCTATAATTATATAGGATATGAATATAGATCAATGACATTTTCAGCTGGTAACTTACTGACACTCATGTGTTAATTATTTTGTATATGAAAGTTAGTGTTATTATATTATTAGGCAGTATTAAGATAAGTTCGTCGATAATTATGATAAGAACTATAAACTTATGAAATATCACAAATAATTCTAGGCAATAACAAATATCATAATTTGTGATATTATAAGTCCAAATGCATATTATTTATGTGTATGTATACAGATGATCACAGATCAAAAAAAAATTCTTAGTTCTTACTAAAATACTCTCTAAATTTTTAAAATTGTATGGTGAACATTTTAGTAGCAATGTACCAAAGTTACAAAAAATATCAAAAAATAAATGATAAGATACTTGAAATAAATGGCAACTGGAAGATCTGATAGTATAATAAATAAATAATTGCAAGACTAGGAGTAATAAATAAAAAGTATGGGATGTGTTGTATGTGTATAAGTCTGTCAAAATAAACAAATTCTCTTTAGACTAAATACTTCGCAAAATGCTACTTTAGAATGTTTGAACGAATGTGGGCTGTTTTGCATTGATAATATTACTATATCAGGATTTTTTTTTAATTCGAACATTAAAAAATTTGCCATTTACAATAAAAAGAAAAGAACTAAAGGCTTAATATTCACTTGCTGCCTCATTTATTCTTGCTCATAAAAATATATTATGGTTGTTGATGTTAGCTAATGCACAGCATAAAGAAACTATAAAAGTGAAGTTTATAAAAAGTGCATATATTATTTTTTAATCAAAAGCAAAATAATATAAAATTTCTTACGAAAGTAATGAAAGAGAATTTGTGTTCTTGCAAATTCTATATACAAAACTATATTAATTGTATGACTTGCATATATAAATACCTGATTTTTCAGAATATGTGTGAAAAATATAAACCATACAGTATCAATATTAGTTACGATCAACTTATATTGTTTATAGAAGGTTATTTATATTTTGGGAATGCTAGCACTCGTTAAAGTAACTATTACAATTGTTATTTTGCAGTTATTTATAATTTGGAAGTTTTGCATGATATAGTAAGTGCATTTGAAATATATTATATTAATAGATATCTATATATTCAAAAAATTCAGAATTCAGAAAGACCTTATTCTCTTTAAAATTTCTTTATTATAAACTAATAATATATTATTTATCAACAAATAAGATTTATGAACAAATTATTAGATATAATTAGAATAACAATTTTGAGTGATCCCATCATATAATATTACAAATTATAATGATTTTTTTATGTTGTCATATAGCTAGCACATTGTCAAATATTGTTGATGATCTGGAATGATGTTTAACCTAATGTTTTGAAGAAGTTCATTTCATTTTTATAATTTTTTTCATACTTTAATTTTACCCCCAAAAAAATTATAATTTTAATGCTTGAATTGTCAAGCAAAAGTCACTGCCTATTATACAAAAGTTTTGGTAGAAATTGGACATTTTTAATGCAATTGAGTATATGTAATATTCCTTTCTTTTTTTGTTCATAATATAAGGCGTTTGATTATCTTACGGTTGCATAATATAATCCTTATATGAGCTATGTTTGCTAAATGTATATATAGTACATATAAAAAAATAGGCAATGTGGCATATTATTGACATGAATTGATAAGGAAAATTATATATACATATATATACTATATATAAATATATATATACTATATATACTATATACTATATAAATATATATATATACTATATATACTATATACTATATAAATATATATATATACTATATATACTATATACTATATAAATATATATATATACTATATATACTATATATACATATATATATTTCCTTACTACATATATATATATTGCTAGACTTTAAAGTGCCAGGCTTTCTGTATGTCTTTGTTGCAAAAACACAATGCTGCATTGTTATTATTTTTTTTTTATTTCAATGATTTTAATATAAAACGATTAAGTTGTGCACAAAGTACATTAATAGAATTTTCCTTCTTTATTTTTCTGAATACAAGAGTTCCTTTTTAAAGCTCTGAGAAATAGATAATCAATTATATATTCGAAAAACTTTCGTTATAATCTAAATAGACCAAATGTACAAAATGAGACTGAACTGCTTCTATCGCATTTATTATTTTCCTATACATGTAAGACACAGTGGAATTTATATAGTCTGATCGAATTTCACTAAAAAACACTTGCTGGATATATAAATAGTAATATTTTATTTGTGTCATCACTCAAACAATATTTAATATCTGCTATTTCTTTTCTTTCTGTTTTCTTTATTTTTTTAAGTACTTTGACTTTGTCATAATCTAACTTCGCACTAACTGAATTATAATTATAATGTTAAATTTCTCGATATGATTATAGAACAAAAAAAATTATATATATATATATATATATATATATATATATATAATTATATATTATATATATATGGATATTTTTTGTTTTTTTTTGTTTTGCAAAATTGAAGTAAAGAGACATGACAGAAATACGTCGGTGCGCGACAGACTGCAATATTACATATTATACTTCTTAAAACAAGGAAAAAGAAAAAGAAAAAATATGTCTGAATACATCTGGAATAGTTTGAAAAAGCTTAATACATATTATCCGCACAATATAAAATTGAAACAAAAAAAAGTTAAATAAATAAAATCATTAAAAATATGCTTGCTTGATTTTCGTAGATTACTCTCGTTACAGCGATATGTGATATATCAATATATTTAATTAACAAGAATTCTGTAATTATCGCATATACACATCTTTAGCAATAAATAATGATATCATAGAGAAATTATTCAAGATTGTACATGTGAAACAAAGAATCGTTTAATCCTATGTAACGATTGTACTCGTTATATGGATGTGAAATAGCTTATAATAAGAAAAATAAAAATCGTATATTATCACAATAATTTCCAAAGTTTATTTCAACTGTACCCTTGCAATAAAAGACAAAACAATATTTGATTTTATTTTTTACATAATAAAATAACTAAAATCGATAAATCATCAATTATTTCTCAATATTTATACATAAATCAATAATTTCTCAATATTTATAAATGTTGATGATATATATATATATATACACAAATTTTTTCATATTTGTATTTATTAACAATATATTTATCTAAAGTGGACATCTCAATTATGTAAAAATATTAATTTTCATGAAATATATAATAAGTTTTGAAAAAATGACATAACAATAGCTATTTTTTCTTTCATCATAATTATAATTGCGATAATAACGATTATCGTAAAAAAACAAATCGTAATAGCGTATGACAAAGAAATATACAGTAATTAAAAAGAAATAATTTGGATGTTTATCATTCCTAATTTTATAATGATTTACGTCGACAGTAAGTACAGATATAATTCTTAATTAATTTTGATGAATAAGGTCTTATTTTAAAGATGAAGATTTAAGCAAGAATGTGACTTTATCGAATTTTTGAAAAAGCTTTGTCATACTGAGAATTTTAGAGTCATTGTCAGTCCGTGAATCTCCATAAGCAGATCCCATAATAAAACCTATGTCGGTAATATTTGCGAACTATAGAAATCTTAAATGATGCAAGTATTATCGAGCGAATGCATATTCCAGCATATTTTCAACATCTTTTCTTTCTAATTCTATTTAAACATTAAAGTACTTCACATTCCACGTTATTAATGATAAATAAACAAATTAGATATAATAGAATTCTAATATAATTTCTTCGAGGAACGCATTGAAAAATCCTAATTTCTTTATTACTCTTATTTGTTCATATTTATTCTCATTTGTTCTTACGTATTCTTATTAATTCTTATTTTATTATTATTTTTTATTTATTTATTTATTTATTTTTTATCTATTCTCATTAATTTTTATTTACTTCTATTTACACTATATTTTCTATTCCATATACATTTGCCACCATATCTACATATTTCCGAATTCAAAATGTAAATCATTGATTTTCTTTTTACTGTTGTAGCTATTATTTTTTTTATATGTTATATTTTATATCTGATATCTTATATATTCCATCGTAAGTAATATTGATCTAATGATTGCTTTTTAGGTATTTGTACAAATTTAACTAAAAATGAAAAAAAGTTCGTACAATTAATAAACATTTTTCAATTAATTTATCTTCAGAGAACTATAATCTGGCATATAGTTTTTTCTTGTTTTTGTCAGATATATTACTATTTTATCCATACAAATATTTCTGTCACTCGATTGTTAGGTACATGTGAAAGGAATATAACCTATATAATCTTATATACTGGCAAAATAATTGCATAATGGGGATAGTGTTTCTTTATGGTACTTGTAATTTATATTTGGTCCATACTTATCGCTGAGATTACATACGTTACGAATGAGAAAAATGATGAACTGCTTTAAGATCATTCATCGTTCTTACTTTTATAATAGTTTATGCGAACAATGAGAACAGACAGATTTTAATGAACAAGATTTTAATGAAAAGATCTTATCTAAAAGCCCGATTTTACGAATTTTTGAAAAAGCTCTATTTTCTTTGAAAAAAATCGTGTTAAAAAATGGTAATAAAAAATTCTTTGAGAATAGTTTATGTACAAATAAAAAGCTTCTTCAAAAATTCGAAAAAAACAAACTTTTACATGAAATCTTCATCTTTAAAGTGAAATCTTTTCTATTTAAATTGGTCAAGAATTATATCTGTTCTCATTGTTGGCATAAATAATGTTATCGACATTTTTCGCGAAGAAAAAATTTTGTACTGTGGCGCCTCTCGAAATTTCCGACAAAAAAGAAAAAGCTCATACCCCCACTACTGATATCCATATCGTGCTTAAATGGGATATGTTGTCCGTGAAATAGCGATTACATATTTGCTTGTATACGTAAACAACTGATGATCAGATTTTCTGAACCATTCCAAAAACAAAGAAATGCGTTTCATGATACTCGTACGAAGAAGTTACGGTAATTCACTCGATCATTCTTTGGACAAATGATTCTATGGGAAAAATAAGGAAATTCCTGCCCAATGTTACAAAGATTGTAACGTGCGAAAAACTTTGCCTTGTATAATATAAACAAATACGCATTTTTAGTAACCTTGACGATTATCGAGTTAATTTTTTTTACACTCCGACGAATATGCATCGATAGTCTCTCTTTCTAAACGTGAAAACTTATAAATTAATACTTTCGATAATTTTACAACCATTTAATCAATCTTTAATGAATACGAACTACAATAAATTAATATTGAAATAATAGAACATTCATTTAATCATTACAAAGATCATTACGCGTGAGAAATTTAAAATAACATTAATTTCTTTTGCATTAGTCTTAAATTTTTAACTGGCGTCCGTGGATTACGTGTAACCGCAACAAAATCAAACCTCTTCTGTTTTTGACGATAACTGAATTAACTTTCCTTTGGATTCCGACGAGTAATCATTGATGATGTCTTAGGATGTGTCTTCTATAAGTATCAACGAAGAGTTAAAGGAGGTATTCTCGTATATCACATATTTCTTGAATAATTTATTAAATTTATTTTCTTTTAGATTTAAATTTTAAATTGACAATCGTTGGCTATGTATGACATCAACAAAATCGAACCTCTTATCGACTTTGATTATCACTGGATCTATTTTACTTTGTATTTCGACAAGTAATCAATGAAGCTCTCTCAGGATGTCTATCCTGCAAATAGCAATGCAGACCTAAACTAAGTATATTTTCGTATTATACATTTCTTAAATAATTTCTACAATTTGTTATTATAACAGTGATATTAATTATTTTGTTTGTATTTTTCTGCTTCATAACTTCATTGTAATCGCGCACGCGCGTAGTAATGAAGTAATCGAGTTTTTATATCGCTAAAATAAAAATATCGCCAAATAAAAGCAGTGTTTGTTCGTTTACGTGATTTAAACAAGTGTTTTTGCATCGACAAATTGCAATGCAATCGTTAGAGTCAGTGTTTGTTCACAAATTGTTGTTCTTTTTTAATAGTCACACAGACTGTATTTATAAAAAAGCAGTAGATTTTCGTGAAGTAAATTCAGTGATAGGCCATTAAGAAATAACTACCACAAATTAGAGTCAATGCATCATTGAAGAGGATCTTATCCATGAATCATCTATCCTCAATTTCGATCTAAATCGCGAACGAATGTTTTAAACCCATTGCAGAACTTCTTAAGTAATAAATGAATTTTTAAGTCCCCTTCCGATCACTCAATCATGTCGAAGATATATAGTCCGAATCGACACGGATAATTGGTTGTAATTAATTCGTAGATAGAGCATTGAATGATCACGAGTAAATTTCTTCATAGAGATTCACTTGTGAATGATTTCTTATTTTTTGATTTATTTATTAGATCAGGATAGGATCTTCTTGTTCAAATGCATTTATGATTATTTCAAATGTGAAATATTTTAATTCACATTTTTAAATATTTTTCTCATGAGAATATATTAAAGAATCATTATTCATGAGTATTATTAAAGAATGAAAAAGAAATCACTCGCAATGGATTAATCTTTGGATTACAAACGATATTGTGCATGATTTGTTTATAATAATTAAAACAATCATTTGTAAAAAGGAGCGTCTAAGGACTTACTTTATATTTTTAAATAACAATGAATTAAGTATTTAATTAATTAATTTGGATTGATAAAAGAAAAATCTCGATAGAGTTATTACTTTTGAAAGAGAAAAATCGAATAGAATGATTGTTAAAAAATAAAGAGACTTATTGTTAAAAAATAAAGAGACTCTACTTATTAAGTAGAGTCATAATCCATAGACCTAAATGATAAATTAATTAATTTTTAGCTCAGGATTTTTAGCAATTAATAAATATACTAATTCTAATTTCTCCTACACGGCAAAAAATAAATAAATTATCTTTCGATAAAAAAATTATCTTTCGAAAAGATAATAATAAGTTTCTATCCAAAAAGATAAAGTTTATATTTTTCAGATACATTAGAATTGTATTAGGATTTTCTTTTTCATATCTTAGAATTTGGAATCAAATTTTGTCGTTACAGTTTTTGTGTGATAATCAATTAGGTTAGGATACGAAGCAAAGAAAGAGACTATTATGCCGAAGAGGTCTTCATAAATTGTGGCACAAGAGGGCAACTATAGGCTATTGAATATTTTCGAAGATTCATCAGAAACTTTCGAGAATAGCTCTTAGTTCTATTTTAATTTTACCATGGAATGGCATCGCGTAATGTGAATTTTAGAGTAGAGTAGAATCACTATCAATTCGTATATTTGCAGATGCAGTAATCTCTTCGTGGTGAAACCTGAGTTGGTAGTACCTGTGGTGTATTGAAATTTTATGGGATTCAAGTACTACCAAGCGAATAACGGCATATTTTAAAACTTTCCTAATATCTTTTCAATCTAATTTCAACTAAACATTAACGTACTTTCATTTTACATTGCTAATCATACTTCAATAGATAAATGAATCGGATATATTAAAATTTTTGAATAATTTCTTAAAAAAACTAAGTATAAACAACTTTTTTATCGCACTTATGTTTATTATCATTCCTATTTATTCTTATTTACTCTTATTAATTACTATTTATAAGTCTCGCATGGATGTCTCAGCACAATATTTTTTACTGAATCGATGAACAGCCTTAAAACATGCAGTTCATACTTCAGCGGAGAAAACGCAACGTATAAAATGGCCATATAGTTCTAACTTTAAAAGTAAACCACAGTATAATTTAAAAGTAAACCATAGTATTTAAAACATTTATCAGAAAAGACTACATTTTAAATATTATTTTAATTCAAACTTTATTTACAAATAATATAAATTCGAAATATTACTAATGTGCCATCTATAATTACACTTCATCAACACAAATCTGATGGTAATAACTATGATAAATGGAATTTGATAGCAATGCCACAGTTGATATTTGAAATTACTAAATAATACATCATAGATATTAGTTCTTATGTTGATATATTTTATGTCTAACGTTTATGCGTCTGTGCGAACTTTCGTAATCAAATAGTAAAGTAATTGCGCGGGTTCTTACAAGAATGGATGAAGATACGGAGGATTCTAAGTTAAGTTCTAAGTTTTTAAATAACTTGAAAGGTAAGCGAATGATAGATGTGCAGAAAAGAAATGTGAAATTATGATTTGGAAAATAAAAATATGTCACGAGTGAAAAGTTTTTAACGAATCTTATGTATAAATTTACATCCAATCATTTTTGAAAGTAAGCAATATAATTACGAATTAGATGTAACATTTGATATCACATATCAATTAAAATAAGTAGATCGTTTTCATACATAATACAATTCTTAAGAAACAGAAATTATCTTTTAAAATTAGAAAAATAATACATATAAAAGAACATAATATACGTCCTTGGATTATTTTAGAAAAAGGAAAATTATTTGATGGATTTGATGATGGTATCAAGATATTACAACGTAAAGCTACGACAAAAGGATTATCGAATGAGGATATTGATCGATTGATAGATATTATTACACATATTAATTTTGGTTAGTATTAAGAGTTATATATATTATATTAAATATTATCCTTGCATTTATTATTATGCATTATTTATTTATTATTATATTTGTTTTTGTTAGGTGCTGTAAAAAACATTTTGCTAATAAAATGTCTAGTACCAATATATAAAATATCAAATGAAGCACTTAAGCTTATGATAACATGGTGTTTGTCATCCTTGGATGACCTAAAAATCACAGTGGCAATTATAATTATGCAATGGATCGTTGGTACCGTAAAAAATATATTAGCGTTTGTCAAATTACAAGTTTATGATATAATATCCGGCATACTTTTTCAGGATTGTGGGAATATGGTCTCGCCGATAGGAAAATCATTAGTATGTACTATGATGTATTTTTCCATTGGATGCTGAGAAAAGAAAGATTGGTATTGTCATGTTTTATTATTTAATAAATATGATTTACATTTATAGATTAATCTCTTATTAATATGTTATGCTTATAAGATCCATCTTATTAAAGGAGAAGCATATAGCACAAGTGATATATATATTAACAAAACCAGAAGATGTAACACGTCGAAATATTTCTAGAATATTATTTCTTCATAAGAAGCATTCCAATCGACAGAAGCATACTATTGCCCTACTTTCGTATGTATCAATGATTATTATCCACAATAAGAAAATTGACAATCTTATAAGTACATTTCTTTTTATAGCTTATTTAAAACTTATAAGCCTGAATTAGTGCCAGAAAGAATTGAAACTATGAATATAGAAAGTGTTTGGAAACCCATACCAGAAGTATTACGAGTAGCATTAAAAGATGCTAAAGATCGTTCGGAAATGCAACAGAGCCTTAATAAAATACAAGAACATTTTAATTGGAATATCTCAAAAGTATAATTGTTTTTGTATTTCATAATATAACTTGACTATGTTTATAAATATATATGATTGTTACAGTTTTCTAAAAGAAGGGAAAAATTACTCTTACCATCCGTTGGATATTTTCATATTGGTTCGAGTATCTTTAAAGAAAAAGATGCCAAATCTATTTTTGATGTATATAAGTAAGTTATATTTATCTCATTTTTAAAATATCTCGACAATTTATTAATATTATTAATATTACAGCATTAATGAATTAGGACAGCATTATTCGAGTATTGAACTACCTTGTAATGCAATATCTTTGTTAGTTAATATGGCTGGTTACCATCTTCTCACATATGCTAATTTTCATTTTCAAAGTAGATTTTCTTACAACCTTTATAATACACTTAGAAGAGGTATGGAATATGTATGGAATATGTAGCTATTATACATCAGATTTAATTTCTTGAAAATATAATTTTTATTATTGCATTATTACAGCATTTATATTAGAAAGAGGTAAATTTTCTGAAACAGAAATGGAAAAACTACTCGATATGACCGTCGAATTTTGTAAATATATGCAACAAGGTATACTTGTTGTAAATCTTTTCATTGATGAGTATTTGTATCTAAACAGCAGAGAACATGATATTAAAATATTAGAATTATTACAATGGATGACCTTCGTATCTGTAACAGGTAATATTTTTTTATATAAAACTTTTTTATACTATTTTTTCTTCTCCAAGAAAAATCGCAAATAAAAATTATTCGATATTTATTTTGATTATAGAAGTACAGCAAACGATATTACCACATATAAAAAATATGTTTTATGAATCATCAATTGTCCTCAAATGCAAAATTATAGAAACTTGTAGAATTCTTATCACCAATATAGTACGTACAAATTTTACTAATATTATATATATATTATTGGTTATTAAATATATAATAAATGGAAAATATTTTTAATAGTTCGTTAATCAAGGATTTGATGAATGTTGTCAAAAAGTACCAGCACCATTTTTAGGACAAGCACCAAAGGATAAAATAACTGACGTTATTTCTATTCTTATAAAGATCTCAAAAGATCTTATTATAACTGGTTTAAATGCTCATTCATACAATATATTACTTCTATCTGAAAGTCTGACATTTTATGAAATGGTATATTTTGAATTAAATAATATTTTCTTTTTCTGTTTTCTCCATTTGTTTAAAAATTATCATAATTATAACTATTTTTTTATGATCAGCTTTTTGAATTGGAATCTCATAGTAATATATCATCATGGACTATAGCTCCTGCTCCTGTAATTTATGCAGCATTTGCAACTAAAAATTGTGCGCTTGTTAATAGAATTTGTGCACTGATATTAAGGTAATTCAGGAAGTATGAACCCCTGCTTATTGATTATCTTATTACATCTTATCAATGTTTGATTGTTAATTTTGTAGATATTTGGAAATGGCTGCAGTTCTAAAAAAACAAGATATAAACGATTTTAACAATAACATTGAGACAATATCTATTTATATTACAGATATAGCAGGAGCTTTTTGGTATAATAAGGTATATAATATTTATAAAATACATTCATATACATATTATTAAATATAATACATATATAATTCAATAAAATATTTATATAGGCTTTTAGCAATCAAAATGATTATTTTTTTAAATCGCCTGCTTTAGAAGAATTTGGGAATTGTAATTTTAATCTTCAGTTAAATATTAATAATCATTATGCCACCCTGCCTTATAAACATGTAATTACCAAGGAGTTTCTTAAAGGTGTCAAAATAACAACTAAGGAGGTAAAAATAATTTCTTCTTTCTTTTTTATTCTAATTTCTTATAGAAAAATTTCTATCATAATGTTAAATATCTTTTCTAGGATGCTATCAATGTTGCTGAACAGTACTATCCTGCAGTCAGAGAATTTTTAAAACAAGTAATACCAGAATTACAAGAATAAGAACAAATGATTGAATATTATTTAAGAAAAATTTGTATCTAAATTTGAAACATGTAATTACAAAAAATTAAAAGATTTTACTTAATTGTTTTAAAAAGTTGACAAAATTCTTATATGTATATATATATATATATATATATATATATATATATATTAGGTCATTCGGAAAGTTCATTCCGATTTTCGGTAGGTAGTATAAGGACAGGTCTAAATATATCAGAATGATTGAAAACAAATGATATGCGTACATATTCTACAAGATGGTACTTCAAAGATATTTAGAAAAAACTTTGGTTACGATACGTTAATTTTTGTTAGTTCTATATGCCTTTAAATGTGTGCATAAAAAGTGCATAAGTGTATTTATTATAAGCATTTAATGCTTTTCTTTTATCAGAAAAGCGAAAATATCACATAAGTAGCAAATAAGATATGCGCTGTTTATGGCGAAGGTGCTGTATTTGAAAGAACTGTGCAGTAGTGGTTTGCTAAGTTTAAAGCTGATGATTTTAACCTTAAAGATAAAGAACGTCCAAGTAGATCCTCCACTATAGATAAAGATAAAATTAAAACACTGATTTATAATAATGTTGAATAAAAAAAATCTTGGAAAAAACGGAATGAACCATCTTTGGCCACCCTAAAAGCCATCTTCATTCTAAAAATGTCATGCTCTGTGTCTGGTAAGATTGCAAAGGGATCTTGTATTATAAGTTTTTTACCAACGAGACGATAAATTCAGAGAAGTATTATTTCCAATTAGACAAATTAAAGACAGCATTTGAATAAAAACGTCTAGAAATAGCGAATTGAAAGGCTGTCGTGTTTCATCAGGACAATGCACGGCCTCATATGTCTTTGATAACTCGATAAAAGTTGTTAGAGCTCGGTTGGAATGTTCTACCCCATCCACCATATTCAAATCTCGCGCCCTCTGATTTCCACCTATTTCGATCATTACAAAATTTCCTCAATGGAAAAATCTTCAACTGTTTGATCGAGATAAAAAATCACATAGAAAAGTTTTTCGCTGAGAAACCTTAAAGATTCTGGAAGGACGGAATTTTCAAGTTACCTGAAAGATAAAGAAAGGTTGTAGAATATAATGGCACGTATATAATTTAATAAATGTATACTAAAATTTAAATCTTCTACGTTTCAATTTTCCTTCAAAATCGGCATGAACTTTCCGGACAATCCAATATAATAACATATCATTAATAGCACATTTATGTATACAATTTATTAAGTAAATTGTACTTGTTAAAAGATATAAAAAGATAACTATTTAAATATAAACATATTTATATTTATTATTTTCAAATATAATGTTCAAAATTTGCTGTGTGAGACGTTTACCAATAATAATATCATAATATTAACGATTGTCGCAGTCAGCTAAGAAACAGACCTTGTTCATATCTTCATTGATATCACCATTGATATACATAACAATACATTAAATAGTATTTTGCTATTATCATTTTTCTTTTATGATATTCTTCTTTTTTTTTAAACCATTAAAATTATGCTATTCACATTTTGTATGATATTAAGAACAAAAAAAAATAATTAAATTAGTATCAATTGACTGAATAAACACTTTATAGAATAATATATTGTTACGCTATCTATTATTATTGATACGGAATTACAATCGTAGAATATATCAGTACAGCATGGAGATTTCAAAGTGAAATATGGCGGTATTTCGAAGTTTGTAGTTCTAAAAACATAACCTCTCTAAATTGTAACAGAGTGAAATATATTTTGTTCGTATTTTATATAAGAAAAAAACATTACTGATTTAAAATGCCTATAGATCACAAACGAATTAATGGTCCAGAAGTGTCTGTACCATATAATATCTATACTAATTCTAATTGTGAAGAAAAATGTACTAAAAATAATATATCAGAAAGGAAGGATGGTCGTGCGCATAACGAACGGAGGGAAATATGTAAGTTTAAATGTAAAATAGAATATTACAAAAACTCTTAATCTAATAACGAATTATACACACCAAAATTAATATCCGAATCATATTATCTTTAATAGTTTTAAAAACTGGGATAATTAGTCAAGCAAAAGGTTCTGCATATATCGAAATGGGTGATACTAAAGTTGTATGTTCGGTCTTTGATCCCAGAGAAATTCACAATAAAAATGATTACTGTACACATGGTGAATTATTTTGTGAATTCAAATTTGCTCCATTCTCTTGTAAAAAAAGAAAAATACATCAACAAGATGCAAATGAAAAAGAATATAGTTTGATTTTGAAGAGAGCTTTGGAACCAGCGGTTTGTTTAGTAAGCATATATTTATTTATTTTAAAAAAGAATATACTTTTATAGATGTTACTAATTTTATTTTATTTTCTACAGTACATTCTATTCATAATACTTTTTTCTATGTTTTTTTAGCACGAATTTCCTAACTTTCAAGTAGATGTTTATACTACAGTTTTAGATAATGATGGCTCATCCTTAGCAGCTGCAATAACTGTAGCTAGTTTAGCACTAGCTAATGCAGGCGTTCCTATGTTTGGTCTTGTTACTGCATCTACTGTGGTAAATTTATTTACAGTTTACTATAATGTTTAAATAATTCTTATTTATATGCAAACTGCATGTTTGTATCTCAGTCTCTAAATACTTTGAATATAAACATATAAAATTCTATTTAATGACAAGATGTAACAATATCATTTAATTACATTATAATAGGCTATCTATGATGATATACTGCTTCTTGACCCAACGGATACTGAAGAATTATATTGTAGTAAAAATTCATTAATTTCTGGAAATCATGGCATTATAGTGCAAGCATCTCTTCCGCAACTTGAACAAATTTCAGAATTTTTCTTGGTAGGAAATTTAAATATGGAACATATTACTAATGCTATAGAAGTCATAAAACAAGCTAATAAAGATATATGTCCATTATTACAACAATGCCTTGTTAAATCAGTTTTTAAAGTATTCAAAGAAAAAGAGCGTAAAAAAAAAGAAATTAAATAGAATATTTATTTATAACAAATCTATTAAACTAAAAATCAAATAATTAAATATATTTTAAACATAGACTTATTTTATATTTAGAGAATTACTTCGTAATTAAACAAATAATTATAAGAAAAAATAATACAGCTATCCCACTGAATCAGTTTATTTTATCTTTACATTCATATAGGATATAATTACTAATAATCTCTCATATTTCTGTTTTTATACTATTTATATAACACCCAGATAACTGATTTTTGAAATTATGTTTTTTAGATATCCCATTTTGTAGATATTCCTACCTTAGAACAGTACACTAAAAAAAGTTTAATTTAAATATAAAATATAATATATAAACACACATTATCTACTCATTTGCATCTCTCTCTAGCAGAAGTACATTAGAGGCCATCATAATAAATTCAGGCCATAAAAGTGTATTTATAAATTTTAACAATATTGTAACAGATTTTTTTTTTTTTTTTTTTTTTTGTAATCATGCTATTATGCTACTATACATTATCATTCTTTATAATATATCATTTAAACCTGAATATTGAAAAGTAAATAAATTATGTAAAATAAATCATTAAAGAACAGCTGTCAAAAATAGAAGATCTTTAAAGACATTATGTCCTTTTTTTATATAATTATACTTTATGGTACTGTTAATATTTGATATAGTTCTTTATACGATATCAATTTGCTTTATTTACGGTATATTTCTAATAAAACATCTTTTTTAAAAGTAATTTATTCATTTATATTTAGTATAGAAATATTTTAGTTTGTAAATTTTCTTCTTATGTCATCAATAATGCTATAATTATAAAAAAGCTCTTGAAACATTAATGTACTATCTACCTTTATTGCTGCCGTATTCTTTCCTTAATTAATTCCTATTATGATTAGTATTTATGCATAATTCTTCATAAGTACTTAAAACAAATATGAATATTTGAAAAATTAATAGGCATGCTACTTAAATACATATACATTGTGTATCACTAAGATCACACAAAGATCATTTGTTATCACTAATTATTACATGACCAGGAAATACTACTCTGAAAAAAATGTAGTCAAATGAATTTTGGTATATTAATAGATTATATAGTATTGTAAATCGTAAATTGTAATAATTGCTTTTAATGTTCTTATATTTAAATATTTTAAATACTTACTTTGTTATTACAAAAGATTCGTATATATGAATTACATTAAATTTTAGAGATTCAACTACTCTAAGTGAGTATGTCCATTTTCTAATTTATTTGACACTTGTTTATTATTTCCATCTTCATACTTTCTCCTTGATAATGCAACTTCAAGAGATGGCTTAACTTTTGTTATAGGACATTTAGTCAACAAATAATCATATAAATAGCATAATAATTTAGACAAAAAAGGGCACAATAATCCCTGATGTACAAATGCGCCCATTCTATAATTTTGTCCCTCAAATGGATCTAAGACTGCTGAACATAACATATGGCTGAGATTCACTTGTACAGGCTATACAGAACACAATAAAATATACTATAAGTTCCAAAACTAATTATATAAAATATAAATTATGAAATAAAATTTATATACCATACCAAAGCAATAAGTTGCAAAATCCAGAAATGGTATGCTAGATTAAAACCATAACTTAAAATTGACCAGTTCAAATCTGACAAAGGTTCAACATTATATACTCCTAAAAAAGAAAAAAAATATTACATATAAAAAATCTATTGAAAAATAAATAACATAATAATATATAATAAAAAATTTTGTTAGCCATTACCTCCAATTCTTAATAAGTAATAAGGTATTACTAACATTAAACCATGTTGAATATAGTATACCGCTTTATCTGGAAATATCTGAAAGATAAATTCATATTATTTTATATTTCTATTCTTTTTTATTTAAAATTAAGAATTATCATCGTCTTCATTATTATTATTATTATTATTATTATTATTATTATTATTATTATTATTATTATTATTATTATTATTATTATTATTATTATTATTATTATTATTATTATTATTATTATTATTATTATTATTATTATTATTATTATTATTATTATTATTATTATTATTATTATTATTATTATTATTATTTACTCTTCGAGATTCTGTTTCTGGGAATAAAAATGCCAGCACAGGACCATTCATAAGATTCATATGTATTCGGAAGATACTTGTTACCATAGGACTTGGATCTGCTGCTAATAGATATATCTACACAAATAAGAAATTAATAACATAGATAAAAATTATAATATTAAATACAAAGAAAGTATTAAAATATTTACCTGCATAGCAGTAGTAATATGACAAGGATTTAACAAATAAATAATGGTACGACTTGTAAATTTAAAACCAATTTCTACACCCAGGACCATAGACATAATAATTAATAAAACTTTTTTACCAAGTCTATCTTGATTAATATATGGTAATCTCTTCGGTAATGTTATTTTTTTAAAACCCCATACCCAAAATGATATAATAAATATAGATACAAAAGCTGTTTCAATTATTTTTCTTTTTGTACTTAAGTAATATGCACATTCTGGACCAACATTCCTTGGTATAGAACTGTTAACACCATCATAAGCCCACTCAAACATTATCAATAATAATTGATATTTTGTAAATTTATAAAATAAAACGATTATTTTTTTTAATCATACAGTTATGACTATCACAGTATAAAGATATATATATATATATATATATGTATATATATATATATCTTATGTGTGTGTATAATTCACTGGAAGTTTTAACAAAATTACTTAAAACGTTGCACACCACTAGGTTCTGCAATACAATAATGTACAACTATTTAAAATTGAGCCCATATTTGTACTGTATTTTATATCAAGCTGAACATCTTTACTTGTTACGCACGTATATCGGTATATTATTAAATCTATATCATTAACTCGTAACTATATAAGAATATCTACTGAATGCAAAAAGCCGAATATTTCTAGAAATATCACTTCTACCATCAACGGACAGCTAAGAAGGAAGCTGACCTTCTACGGAAGATAAAGGATTCTGTTATAGTACCATGGACGATAGTAGTAATTCACTGATGTCGCTAGTAGTAATTTACTTATTTTAAAGGACCAACAAGTGATAGTATAACATCATTTTATAATATAACATTAAATTATTAGATAAAAGATTTAAAGTAGAGTTCTTATTATTTCTTTGAACGAATTTTTTTATATAAAACTGTTTAAAATATAGATAATATTAGTTATTAAAATGATAAACCTAGTGTAAATAAGGCAAAGTATTTTAGTGATATTTAAAAAATGTAATTTTTGTGGGAAAGTAAAAACAGCCAATCAGATAACAGTTCTTTCTATCATACATACGATTATGCAGCCGTATTATATAATTTATCGCAAATTAAGAAATGAAAATATTTATAATAATCCTAATTTAAACAATCGTTAATCTAGAGTGATTTTTTTTTAATAACTTTGCAGTACTAATGCATTACTTTTAAATTATAAGCAGCTCAAGACGTGAATAACAAATGTTATTCTCGACAATCGTTCATTAGTTGGCGCCATATGTCATACATGTATTTATGAAGTCGTTGTCAAGGTTACGTATAAATTGATTATCGTAACACATCATACTTTTGGCTACGTTGGAATTTATACGAAGTATTTTAATAATTTTAAACAAAATGTCAATGCACGCAACACCGATACTCTACTTAAACATGGGTGGTGAAATGCTGTATGTTTTACGACAAAGACTGAAAGCTCAAAAGATCGACGTCGACAAAACTGTGCAAGGCCAGTCCAGTAACAGAAATATTCGAAAAAGATCGTACGCACTGTTCCTACCATCCGTTATGTGAAATTCAATATTCATAGCAATTCACTGAAGCACTTGCTTTTTTGTAATATTTTATAAGAATGCTTAAATCAGCAAATTTCTTGAACTTTTTTTTTTGTACATTACAGTATTAAATGATGTAACTGCAGCTTTACTCAATGTCACAGCACTTTCTTCAGTATTTAAAAAAGGCCCAGTTATAGCTGTAGCATCATTGCGTCCTACTTTAGAATGTGCTGCTTTATCCTCTATCATGAGATTGGATAATAGTAGCATGGACAAATTATTTGATCTAATGACGATGATGGTAAAATATCAATTGAGTGTAGTTACTGGTCCAAGAGAAGTCATTCTTCTTACATTAAATCATATAGATGCAATGCGTGACATGGTTAGCAATACAACTGGACAAGAATGTGTTGCATTGGTACATCAGATGGTCGTTGATGTAAACAAACTTCCTTCCAATACATCTATGTGCAATAAACATATTAAATTTTAATATTTAATTTAAATTTTAATATTTGTATTATAGTTTTATAGTGATTTAACTTTTGACGAAGTCTGGAAAACAAGATATGATTGCCTTCAAGAATTAGAACCATATCGTGTAAGGGTTTCTATTCTTTTGAGACTTGGTTTACAGAATGAAGATACTAGTTTTAATTTAACATTGCATAAGTATAATGAAAAGTATGAAGAACATAGACATACATTAGCCAATCAAAAAATAAAAGATGTAGACCTCAATCAAAATTGTAGAGGTTCCTTCCAACTTTTTGGCGATCGCGAAACATTATTGGGAAGAAATATGTAAGTGTAATAATATTCTAGTTTTATGCAAGACCAAGAACTTTTATTATTTGTAAAATACTAACATTTATTATTTGTAGATACTCCTCTACATATGGAATGACAGAAAGATTAAAGCCAAAGCAACATGATTCGAACTTCCTAAAAGACTGTGGCACTAAAGCAGAACTTGGAATGTTAGCTACTCAATTAGGAACAGAAGAGACTTATGAAAGACCTTTTACTTTAAATTTATTTTCCAATGAAGAAGAAAATTCAAATAATAAAAATAAGTGTAATATTGATAAAAATAACTTTGAAAAGAAAGAATTAGAAGTTGAGAAAACAAAGATAAATGAAGAGTATAAAAATAAGCTTGATAATGTTTATGCAGATTTTCGTGAAAATGAACAGGAAAAAGTGGCACGCAATATGGATCTACTTGATTTACTTGATGAAATCGAATAACGTACTAATTCATCATAATACTATCTGAAAAAATAATTACTTCATATTTTTTTTCAGTGCACTTAATAGATAGATATATATACAATGTAATTTGCACCTCATTCAATGATGTAATATTTTTATCTCCATACAATATACATTCGTATCAATGATATATTCGTATCAACGAAAGTATGTTAAATGCACAAATAATTCTCTATAAATCATTATAACTAATTTTTAGTCATATCCAAAATGTATTTTACTCCAGTTTTGCCACTAATATTGAGTGCATTTGTAATAGCTTCTTGATATTGAGAGAAAGATACAACTTTGTGTGGTGGAGCTTGTAATTTTTTATCCTTAAAGAAAAGTATTAATTCATCATACATATCTTGTCGTTTTTTTGATTCCATATTTGCCTTAGTCCATGCGGTCATCCAAAATCCTTGTAGACTTATATTCTACAATCATATATAATACAATTTAGATTTAGAAAAATATTATTAAATCTAAAAAATTTTAATGTTATATTATGTATTACTTTAAAAATAAAAATTGAAGCTGGAACAGTCACAGGTTCCCTAGACATACCACCATATGTAACCATTGTACCTCCATGTGCAAGATGTCTCATAATTTCTGTAGCACTTTGGCCACAAACACAATTAAGTGCTAATTTTGGCTGAGGTAATTTTTTATTTTTAAAAATTTGAGTCGTTCGAATTTCATTTTCAGTTAATACTTCATCAGCTCCCATGCACATTAATAGATTCTAAACAATAAAGAATAATATTAACAATCAAATAACATCTACTAGATATTTTCTTCATACCTTTAATTCTTGTAAATTTGGTCTGTCTCTGATAACATTAACAGTTCGATAATTCCATATTTTACACAATTGTATAATCAATTGTCCTACTGCTGAATTAGCTCCATTTTGTATAACAGTATCTCCAGGTTTTAAACATACAAAATCTTTAAGCATTCTATATGCAGTACATGGATTAACATTCATCATACTAGCTTCTACAATTCCAACTTCTTTTGGAATCTGAAATTTTTGCATATTTTTTGTATAATGATATACAAAATATAAATAATTTTAATTAAAGTAATAAAACTACCTTTAACAAATCTTCTGATTTATAAATTGCATGTGTTCTCCATGTTCCCAAATTAGAAGCATTGGGAATAACTCTATCCCCAATGCATAAATTTGCTACTTCAGCACCAACATCTACTATTTCTCCAATACCTTCATTTCCTGGAATGGCTGGCAATGAAGGTTTACTTGGATATTTACCTTGAATTGTATTTATATCAGCTGGATTTACAGGTGCTAATAGCCACTTCACTGCAACCTTTACAAAATATCTAGTAGTATATTACAACTATAAATCCATAATCAAAATTATAACACAAATGGGAAATATGTATGTATATATGTGGTATAGGAATGGAAGTATATATTTATATATACCTGTACGGAAGTACATATACCTGATATTTATCTGGTTTATTTATTGTTTCTTTTGTGATTTGTAATACATTCACTGGTTCACCATATTCTTTATAGAGTAATGATTTTACTGTATCAGTCATACAGACAGTACTCATATGTCGAATTGTTATAAATTTTGTCGATTGTAAAACTAATGATAGAAAATGTCGTACATATAAAACCATTGTATCTTTTTCTTTTGATAATTTTAAATACAATACTATTTTATTTCCCTTAAATATTAACGATTACCTGTATAATTACAGTAACAATATTTTACTTTGAATGTAGGTTATAAAACAGAATTACAATTATATTTTGAAATATTAAATAATTATAAAATCGTGTAGATATTTATTATACAATAAATTATTATCGGGAAAAGTCACTATCACTGTATTTCATTTACCGTTTTTTTAACGTTTCCATCCAAATATTTTTTTTACGAGCATTTACGTACTATGTCACTAGTGACGTGTTACCAATCGTTATCAATATTATCAACTAGATTTAAAGGAAACTATTGAAATATTGAATGATCGATTATTCAATTATTAATAGATGTGATTTAGCAAATTTTAATACAGTTTAATTTAATTTAATTTTTTTATCTATAAAAAAAGAAATGAAACAAATTTACTTAAGCTCAATTTTTACTGAAGAAAATAATTTGATTGGTTTAAATTTATAAATATTTTATATATATTTATTATGTAATAATTGTATAATAATACATAATATACATTTGTACAAATAATCTTTCTCTTCTAATAATAATGTTCTTTAGATAAGATATTTAATTATGTTTAGATTATGTTTTGTTTTCATAAAAAATCATATAATATTACTTTCTTTCATGACTTCTAATTTTATAAATCTTTCAAATCCTAATTTTGATAAATCTAATGTGAGAAATCGAGATTCTAAAATAAGTTCTGATATCGCTCTTCCTACTGCAGGTGCTTGCTGTATTCCATGACCACTAAAACCTGTAGCTATAAACAAATTTGGATAGTAAGGATGACGACCAATTATACCATTCTGATCAAAAGTATTATATTCGTAATATCCAGCCCAGGAAGATTTCACCTATAAGAAGAAAATATATCATAAAATCGACCACATTGATATCGCAACATTGTATTATTTTTAAATAAAAAAATTTTGTATGTAACCTTCAAATTTTCAAAAGATTTTACTCTGTGAGCCAGAATAGGCCAAATATTTGTTTCAAAAAAGTCGTGATCTACATCTAAATCATTTGTTTTAGGTTCCTTATCTTTTTGTGGTGGTCGACCACAAATATAAGAATTGGCTAATCCGTCCCTCCTATAAAAATAATTATAAAAGTAATTTTCTTACAGCAATATAGATTGAATTTCATAAGATTAATTACCTAAAATAAGTTTGAGTGGGATCTATCGTAAGTGGAGTATTTAAACCAGGTCCATCTGGACAATGGAAACAGTAAACATATCTTTTTCTAAAAAAATACAAAAAATATAAATATATCTAATATTTCTAAAGATGCTTGCATTATATACGGTACCTTCGTTCTACAGGTAAAGGAACACTTAAAATTCCTTTGCCAATTCCAATTTCTGCTTTTTCTGCAATTTGTTGACTAGATGCACCCGCTGCAATGACAACAGCTGCAAATCTAATAGTTTCAATATTACCATTTGGCATTTGAATCTAAAAATTATCTTACATTTAAAAAAAGTTTATTCTAATGAAAGTTCATTGGAAGCATTTTAGTTGAAAAGAAACTCACAATAACTTTTTTTATATTTCTACGTGATTTGAAATCGTCTTCAGTAATAATTGATACTTTCTCAAATTCAAAACCTATAGCTTTTGCATTAATATATTCTACACCTAAAGATATTGCTTTTTTCTTGAAAGCACATAAAAATAACCAAGGATCAAACCATCCTTCTTTTTCTAATCCAAAACAACCAACTGAAATATCATCTGTATTTAACCATGGGAATCGTTCTTTTAATTGTTTTGGAGAAAGAATTATATTGTTTGCACCCAGAATATTTTGTATTTTTGAATTTTCTATTAGTGTTTCTCCACTCAATTCACTAGCTAACATTAAGTAGCCATAAGGATGAAACTGGATGTCAACCGGAGGCTCTCCTTCAATGCCTAAATAATTATTAATATTTCGTATAAACTCTGCTCCAAAAAGAGACATTTCAATATTTTCTTCAAGAGAAAACTGTTGACGTAAACCACCTACTGATAAAGTTGTTGATGCATGGCAGTACTGTTTACATAAAGCAAAAATTAATTTTAGATTATATTGAAAAGGAACATTATTGTTTCTAATATCTTACCGTAGGATCTTGCTCAATTACAACAACATGGAAATCTTTACTAATATTTTTTTTCAACCAGTAAGCTATAGAACTTCCCATTATTCCTCCACCAATTATCATTATATCGCTTCTTTGTGGTACAGTTGTAAGACACTCTTCAAGCAAATTTTTAACTCCTTTATCATCATGCCATGATTTAACTGTTATTTTTCCATTGTTTGATGGTCTTTGCATTTCCGATGGTAATTGTGTATATGTGTCATTCTGATCATTATTATTCTGTAATATTATTTGTAACAGTAACAATTCTATGAATTATTACTATGATATTACTTAAATTAAATAAATATCGAATGAAATATATATATAGCTAATGTACTATATTCACAAATTGCTAACCTATATACAATTACATAACTGAAAATTATTTTATATTTTAACAATTACCTTTTTCGAATAAGATCGTATTAATAATTGTCTCACCCGTTGATTATCAAAAATATTTATTATTGTAGCTCTTTGGGCGAAATAACGAAACATGTTCTTATGCGTTTAACAAATCAACTGTGTTATGAATTAAAAATTGTTATCTCGAAATGGAGAAAAACAAATTATATATCTATGTATTATATTAATAGTTATTAAATTAAAACATCATTTAATATATAAGATTCGCAGTAAACTGGCATCATTTTTTATCAGTTACTGCAATTAAACTTCAAAAAACAGAAAGTGGGAGAGCAATTTTTTGTTTATTTGAAATATGAGGAGCATATCTTATCAGTAAAGTATTTATCAGTAAATATTATTTAAACTTTAATTACATAATTTTGTATTGCTTTTTCACAAAAGAATACGTTATTTCATAAATAACGTATGTAACCTCAACGATAACGAACATCAAACATGCGCGTGTTACCGGAAATATGTACATATATCTATGTATGATTAAAACTGTAAATAGTGAATAGATAATGATAAAGAAGAAAAGAATAAAAATTAATAATGAGATATATTCTACAAATTTAATTTTTTGATGTGTAATTTAATTTGTGGAAAATACGATTCATATATTAGTTTATATCAAAAATATATTATTAATATTTATTTTTAATATCATGTAACATTATTTTTTTTATCTTGTTAATAAAAATTACATCAAATATTCAATACAAATTTTTAATATCTATAGATGATAGAAGAAAAAATAATATTTTATTTTATTTAAAGCAAATTACTACAAGAATTATAATGAAAAATAAATGTACATTTAATTGTATTGTAAATAGCAATTTTCAAAACATTGACATAAATCATTTATTTACAACTATTCTTCTTAATTAATATCATTTACAATAATTATAAGCATAGAATTATTTTTGCATTTCAAATATTTATAACAGTATTAAAAATACAAATATATGTTTAAGTTCGTTTGAACATATACACTGTTCTAATCAACAAGTTTTTTAGCTTATATTTAATTTTTCTTTTGTTCCACTATTTTGTTCTTACTTTACATGTCACTAAAATATTTTATGTTTTTATGATATTATTTCTATAGATCTAATTGTAAAAATGTTACACATATATATAATATTTTTATTGATATTCCAATATATGATGCTTTATGTCATATTATTTATACAAGTATTATTTCTAAAATCTTTTTTTTAATCTCAAATTTTGAAAAAATAAGTTTTATATATTTATCAAGCAAAAAATATGTAGAAAAATTGAAGAATTCTGATCAATTCACAAAGGAAGTACAAGGATAACAAAAATTTACAAAAAAACTTAAACACCATGACATTATTATTTACTAAACAGTTTCTTTATACCAAGTTGATCAATGTAAAAAATATACTTATTATTTTGTAAAAATCTTTTATTATATGCATCGATATATTGGCAAATATAGATCTTGCAGAAAAATAATATAAAATAAAATTTTCATAGTATATAAGGAGGATTACTTTCGTAAATATTATAATATAAAAGATCTGTATACTGGTAACATATTATGAACAAAAAACATGATTATCATAATCTTCATATTAAAAACGTTTCTTTATGCAGATATACAATTAAAGTAGTGTTATTTATCACTACAATGTATAATGCATATCTACATTATGTGCATAATGCTTAAAACAATTTTGTTATAAATATTCCTGCTGTGATCTATTAAAAAATACTAAATGTCTATAATACATATATGGTACAGCGCACCAAATTTCACGTATTTATAATACTATGATTTGTAAACATTAATAAGTATATAATACATATTCACATATTTTACCACAAAGAGTTTAATGAATCCAATTGAATTGAATACCATTCAATTCAACGTTCACGTATTTTCTGTTGGATTTATAAACAGAGCTGTCAGGGCAAAAAGTAGAAATACCAATCCTCCAATAATAGTCACTATATATAAACACACATCAAAATATTTTTAGTATGAGAATAATTTATATATGAGATTTATATATTTATATATGGGAACAATTTTCATAATCCAAAAAATAAAAGTTATTATTACATTTATGAAATCAGACTGCATGTTGTTCCAAATTATTATAAATCTTGTGATTAACATTTAATATTTTAATTATGATTGTTGTGTTAGAAAGATTTGGAAATGTTATAATGCACGATGAGATTATGAATAAAACTTTACCTGTTCGCACAGAAATTTTTTGTGCAATCATACGTCCACCTAATACAGCTAAGCCTGTACAAAATGAATGACCAAGAATACCACCAAATACAACTCCATAAACATCCTAAAATATATTGTTTTTTATATTTATTTAATATAAAATTATTTATAGAATTACCACATAATGAAAATCTTTCTTTCTATTTTATATATATATATTATTATTATAAAATACCTCTCTTGCTGCAAGTATGATTGTTGTTAACTGTGAACGATCACCCCATTCTGCCAAAAAGGTGAGAGTAAATGCTTGTAAAAATATTCGAGAAAGTACCATTAATGCAGAACGCTTAGTAGTTTTCCTTATAATACCACTTTCTGGATCCTGGACTAATGTGGTTGATGTTTCTTTTTCATACTAATAAAAATAATAATTATCATATTAAACATTAATAATAAGAAAATTGATTTGTACTAGTTGCTATTAATCTTTAGAAAATAATATTTCTGAAAGATATAATAATACGGCAATGTTAACATTTTTATACCTCATCTTCTCGTTTACGTAAATCTGATTGAACTTCTTCAAGTTCTTCTTGTGCTCCTGTTGGTGACATATAATATCCGTCTCTCAACATTTTTATACCAAATAAAGCAAAAAGTACTGTTGAAATATAATACGTATAGGTACGTGGAATTATAGTTGCCGCATATCCAAATATTACTGAAAATAAAAAAAACGATATATGTCTACTGCACCAAAAGGATATCATTAAAAATTTTGACAAGATTTTATAGAAAATTTATACGGCATATTTTAAAAGAAACGTGAATATTTTCAATGGGAAAGAATACCTGATAATATAGTCATAAGAGCAAGAGCACTTATAGCTCCTATAAAAACAGTCAACCTAGGATGCTTCATTGCCATAATAGCGGCAATGAAGAAAGTTTTATCTCCTAATTCGGAAACAACAATGACAGACAGGGAAGCTACAAAAGCATGTAGGAGCCCAAGAGAGCCCTGAGGTTGAGTTGATGTTAAGTCTTCAACTTTCTAAAATTATTTATTATTATTAGACTAATTGTCATCTCATTAAACATATCTAATATTAGTTGAACTTATATCTACCATTGTAGTTGCTGTAATTTGTAATTTGTCATCATAACGGTAATCATTTTGGGCTTGTGCGTAATCAAAATTTAGATAAATGATTACAAAAGAATATAACAAGTATTTCATTGTATTATAATTTACGACAGTCATGATAATGCTATAATCTATTATCAGATACTATGCGCACATACTGTTACCGCCACATCATTGAAGCACAAATCGCAAGTCTAGACATTATTTTTTAATATAGATGTCGTGCAATTCGCATCAGTATCACCAATATATTCTCATTCAATTAAAAAGGTACACATTGAAGAGTAAAAATATCTAGATTAAAATAATTTAATCTAGTAACGATTTGTGGTAATTCTGTATCCTATCCAAATTAATTAACTATTAATTTGACTTAAACTTTTCTATTATATTGTTGAATCACAGAATGTATTTATTTAAAAAACTACGTAGTAATAGAATAAAAATATTAAGAAATATAATTAAATAATATGTACTTTAATATTATATACAAGATATATAATAAATTTAATAAGTATTTTATCAAAATCAAAGTGATCTTGTACAATTTATCTCTATAGGATCGTCGAAGTGACGACACTATCATTATTTTTTTTTTTGTATTTCTATTTTTGATGTTAACGAAAAGGCTCGTTTTCACTGCTTGTAAATTACTTGTACGAAATCACTGACAAAGTTTCATTGGTCGTTTCAATCTTGATCACGCGTCCATACCAATGTAAATTAGAAGAAGCGTACGCTTACACGCACATAAAGTTACGATCACGTCGTGATAAGTTGCTAGACGCTCGCAGTAATGGTATATGGGATCTGTTAACCTGTGATGTCGATACGTTTGTTTTTAATTTTAAAGCACTTTTATTAAAATTGGAATGGCTGGTAAAGTGTGGAATTCAGAAATATGGAAAACATGGGATAAACATGGAAAAAATGATTTGTAAGTGGTTAAAACGCTGTAGCGCCAAAAGCGCGCCTGATTAATATTGAATTGATACTCGGTACTCTCTGAGAATTGATGGTTGCAACTTATCTCTCCTGTTTCTCGCTCTTCTGAAGAGTTAATTGTCAATTAACAACTGTTTGCAGCCTCAAGCTAATCAAGCACTTATTTAAGGAAGGCAACGCAGCAGGTAAGTTACTTTATGTTTGTATGTACTTCAGATAGCCTAAAACATATTTTTATTACATCTGGAAAGCATTCCCCTCTTACAAGCATTGCACTTTTTTTTATAATAAATATATGCTTTATAGTTCATTTTTTAAATATAATTATTGCATAAAAAATTAATTATTATATTATGCTAATTATATCAATATAATATACTGCCAAAATTTATAATGTTTTTAATTTATAGTTATATTTATTTACAAATATTGCTTATTTCTTATATTATATTATACTAATGTATTATAATATATACAATTTGTTGTGACAAAAGCATTAATATCATTTTTTTATTTTATGTTTAAAGAATGGAGAAGAGGATTGTACGAATTAATTTCAAATGGAATCCATGGAAATATAAAAAAGGATAATGTTATTGCTACATTAAGTGAAGTTACTGTAAGTAATATTTTTATATATCATAATTTTTATACTATTACAATGATTATTTTAATCTAACCAATGGTAATAACATGTACGATATATTTTCAGAATATTGATTGGGCAATACCATCGGCAATAGTAGATATATTTACTTTAATCGATGCTGAAGTTCATACTGAAGACAGAAATAATTTTTATTACATTGTAAAAGAATCTGAGAAGGTATTATAACGTGACTAAAATAATTTTCATCATTGTTGTTAAGATATAAATGACTTTTTATTACTAAGATATAAATTAATTTTATATCTTTCAGGTATTAACAGACAGAATAATAAAAGAACGTTTAGAAATTGAAACATTACAAGATGTAGGAACATTAAAAAATAGAAGTTTTCAAACAAAATTTATTAAAGTAAAAACGAAATTATAGTACGTACATATCACTAATAAAATATATTATATAAGCATAATTTTTTTGGTTGGATAACATGTTCATGTTTATACAAGTGTATAATAAAAATGCTATTTTTTTTATGTTTCATTTCATATTTCAGTTACAAACAACGAAAATTTAATTTATTTCGAGAAGAAAGCGAAGGCTATTCAAAACTTATTGTAGAATTAAATCAAGAACGTCCGGAAAGTGAAGTAGCATCAACATTAGAAATCGTGAAATCTCTGATTGGTATGGTTATTATTCACTAAAGCGTTTTCGCATAAAAAAGAATTTGGTAGAAATTAATGTTTTAATCTAAAAAAACAAATATAGCTGAAAACTCAAATATCTTTATTTCAGGATATTTCAACCTTGATCCTAATCGTGTACTTGATATTTTATTAGAAACTTTTGAAAATCGATCAGAAGCCGATGCATTTTTTATATCTTTAATTCGTTCATATATGAGCGATCAGCAAGTACTTTGTGAAGTTTTAGGATTTAAATATAGCTCTACTATCAGTGCAACTCCATTTTCCTTGCAAAAACTTACTGCGCTCATGCTTCAACATTCTGTAATACAATTGGATGATATGCTTCCTTGGCTAGTGCCAGATGATGAGACTATTATTAAAGAACACGAACAAGCAATGAAACAGGCTAAAGAATACGTTCGTAAGTTAAGTATAATTTCAACTAAAGATAAAGAAGAGGTGCCAGAAGAAAAAGAGAATCCACAGGTATTACAATATCATTCATAACACCTTTATATTATTTATTTGTTTACATAGTTTCATTGTCATGTATTTAATAGGCTAAATACGCAAGTAATCAAAAATTTGGTTTATGTGAAGCATTGTTAGAAATAGGAGCTTGGGAAGTAACACAAGCTCTTTTTAGTCGATTACCGGAACATTGTTTTACAGATCAACGTCCTATTGCATTAGCCCTATGTAAAATGATTCAAGCTCTCATAGAGCCTGTTTATCGAAAGTAAGCTTCTTAGATAATTATTTTATAATATTTACAGTTTACAAAATTTATATTGAATTTGATAATTTGTGAGTCATGATGCATTTATCTATATTTCAGATATTGCATAATATCACCTAAATTACAAGGTCGAAAAGTCCCTCCATTAAAAAATTCTCTTGCACCAAAACCAATATGTAGTTTAGAAGAAATACATGACCAATTATTACCCATGTTAATAGTTCTTGGTCCTAACTTACATCATGATCCGATTTTGTTATACAAAGTTATGAGATTATGTCATGCTGCTATCAAACAATGTCCATTAGATGCAAACAAGCAACCAGTTGACAAGAACAGTATTCTTTATTATGATGTATTAACAATACTTGATGTAGCCTTGTTACCCTCATTGTCTTTTATGGATTGTAATTGTTGTGTGGCAGAAGAATTATGGAATATTTTAAAATACTATCCATATCAAAATCGTTATTGTTTATATGCAAGATGGAAAAATGATACTCCTCTTCAACATGCAGCTCTTCTCAGAAAACGAGCAGATGCTCAGAAAAAGATTAAATCAATCATGAAAAGAGTTAGCAAAGAAACAATTAAACCTGTTGGAAGATCAATTGGTAAATTAACACATTCTTCTCCTGGGGTATTGTTTGATTATGTTCTTATACAGATTCAGTTGTACGATAATCTCATAGGTAAATATACATAAATATATTTACTTTTGGTAAAATAGAGTATTTTTTATTATAATACGAATTAAAAAGAGAACTTTTTTTTATTACAAAATGGGATATTTATAGGACCAGTTGTAGACTCATTAAAATATTTGACGAACATTTCTTATGATGTACTTGGATATTGTCTTGTGGAAGCATTAGCTGGAGCTGATAGAGATAGATTTAAACATGATGGAACCAGTATATCTTTATGGTTACAATCTCTTGCATCATTTTGTGGAGCTATTTTTAAAAAATATAATATAGAACTTACAGGTCTATTGCAATATGTAGCGAATCAACTTAAAGCACAAAAAAGGTAGCATAAATATTTTGTTTAAATGAAGAAAGTTTTTAAGAAATATTTGTATTTGTATTACCAAATTTTTTTTTACAAATTAATATTGCTTTCAGTTTAGATTTATTAATATTAAAAGAAATAGTACAAAAGATGGCAGGCATCGAAGCTGCTGAAGAAATGACAGCAGATCAACTAGATGCCATGGCTGGAGGAGATTTATTGAAAAATGAGGTAATATATTTGATCAAAAAAATAATAATTTTATAAATAAATGAAATAGTTCTTCATGTTATTTATATCTTTTTAATGTTATTTTAGGCCGGATATTTTAGTCAGGTTCGTAACACAAAAAAATCATCACAGCGTCTCAAAGAGGCTCTTGCTGAACATGATCTAGCTGTAGCTCTTTGTCTATTAATGGCACAACAAAAACATTGTGTTGTGTACAGAGAAACAGATAAATCTCACCTCAAACTTGTTGGTATGTAATTATATCTTTGAGAATCTAGACATTTGCTATAAACAATAATAGTTAACAATATTGTGTTTAAATATTATTATATATAGGAAAATTATACGACCAATGTCAGGATACATTGGTACAATTTGGTACTTTTCTGGGTTCTACAATGACAGTTGATGAATATGTAGAAAGATTACCATCTATACACTCTATGCTGCAGGACAATCACATACATGCAGATGTTGCATTTTTTCTTGCACGACCAATGTTTGCACATGCCATTAATGTAAGAAAATGTTATTGAATATTTTGCTTAACACGTTGACTCTCGATAATAAACGTTTAACAGTGTTAATATTGTTAAATTTAATATGTTTCGCTTATATGATTAGTAATTGCAAATAACATAAAATATATATATATATGTGCATCTTCAGATCAAATATGATTTTCTCCGTAAAGCTGATCCAAATTACAAGAAAATGTCTAGTGCTATAAAACAAGCTAAATATGCAGAAGCTGCACAAGCTGTAATGGCACCAGTTGCTCAATCCGTTAGACCTTTACATCCATTAAAAGTATGGGAAGATATCTCACCACAATTTCTAGTTACATTTTGGTCATTGTCTATGTATGATCTATATGTTCCTGTCGAAAGTTATCAAAGAGAAATTAATAAATTAAAGCAACTTGCTATTCAAGCTGCAGATTCCAAAGATATGGTTTGTATATGATATTCATTGTCTTACAGTGTTTTATAGAAACTAATAATTAATGTTATCTTCTTTGTTATATAGAATGCTAGCAAGGGGAAAAAAGAACAAGAAAGATACACTACTTTAATAGAGAAACTACAAGATGAAAGAAGAAAGCAAGAAGAACATGTTGAGAAAGTATTTGCATATCTTAGGTAATTGATAGAATAAAAAATAATAAGTAAAAATATGTTTAATCATGTTGAATTGATCAATTATTGATATACATAGTATATATGCACCTTATTAATACATAAATTATTTTATTAGACAAGAGAAAGATTCCTGGTTTTTATCTCGAAGTGCAAAATCCGCAAAAAATGAAACAATAACACAGTTTCTCCAATTATGTTTATTCCCTAGATGTACATTTACAACAGTAGATGCTATGTACTGTGCAAAATTTGTACACACCATTCATTCATTAAAGACTGCAAATTTTTCAACGCTTCTTTGTTATGACAGGGTAAGTAAAATTTTAGAAGTAAAGTGTTAATATTACTTTAATAAATGTTACATCACTCATTTTATCTTCCCATTTTTTCTCAGCTTTTTTGTGATATAACATATTCAGTCACTTCATGTACAGAAAATGAAGCAAACCGTTATGGTAGATTTTTATGTGCTATGTTGGAGACAGTAATGAGGTGGCATTCTGAAAGGGCTATATTTGATAAGGTAATGTACTGTATGCATGACATTGTTTTATTTGTGACATTTTTTAATATTTTTTTTCTTTTCTCTATAGGAATGTAGTAATTATCCAGGATTCGTTACTAAATTTCGTGTGAGCAATCAATTTTCTGAAGCAAATGACATGGTTGGTTTTGAAAATTATAGGCATGTATGCCATAAATGGCATTACAAAATTACAAAGGTATTTGTTATAAATGTTAATCTTCATTTAAATTTGATTTGGAGATTATCAGTTATTAATTTTTATATTTTTACAATTATTAGGCCATTGTGGTTTGTTTAGACTCTAAAGATTATGTGCAAATAAGAAATTCATTAATAATATTAATTAAAATATTGCCACATTTTCCTGTATTATCAAAACTTTCACAAATTTTGGAGCGTAAAGTTGATAAAGTAAAAGAAGAAGAACGTGGCCAACGTCAAGATTTACATATCCTAGCAACATCGTATAGCGGCCAATTAAAAGCTAGAACACCCTGTATGATACGCGAATCAGATTTTCATCATGTTGGCGATAAGGTCAGTTATTAGTTAAGGTTGTTGGTAATATGTTATTTTTGTATAATTTTTATTGTTAATCTTGAATAGAACTTTATTTACACAGGCGGGAAAAACACAGGATGCATCAAATAGTGACACAGTAGATAAAGTTAGTAATGGTATTACATCTAAAGAGATAAGTAATGGTGATACTAGAACAGAAAAAGAAAACAAAGATCAAAGAGAAAAACGTAATACAATGAACCAAGCACATCAGTAAGTTCTTCATTTTTTATTTAGTCATTAACTCATGATCTATATATATGTTAAGTGATATACTGAATTCATTTATCATCATTGCTGTGAAATCAGTCTACGTCACTGGTCAATTTGGTTGAATTTCACTGGTGCTTCTTAATCCGTGAGTATATAAAATATGTTAAACAAGAAGTTACATACATAGTAACTGCATTGTAATTAGCCTCATGACATGGACTAAATTCACAGCTTTGTTTATCATACAGACCTACGTTAGAAACCAATGATACATATTTTTGTCCCATTTTTCTTCATATCATCACACTCTATTTCAAGCAGCGAAAGTTCTGAGAAACTTCGGAAAAAGGAGGAAAATAAAGACGGTGCAGACGGAAAAGAAAAACATACTAAAAAAGAAGAATCAAAAGAAGACGATGGCATTGACAAGAAAGATCGCAAATATTATAAGGTAAATGATTTATTGTAATATTATATCACATATATATGTTGTGCCAATATAATGTAATCATTTTTATGGATGTCTACACATGATGATTTATTTATCATAAATATAACTCTGATTATAGGAAGAACATTACTATAGCGGTGGTGTGGATAATTTAGATAGAGATCTTTCTAGTGTATCAAATAGTAGTGCCAGTTCAGGACCAACACCAGATGGAACAGATAGAGGTTTGTATGATAAAAGTTGATTTTAATAATGCATACTGATTTTATTGAATTTGAATTAAATATAATATTAACTTTTTATTAGTAAATTGTTTAATTTATATATAAAAAAGAATATAATTTGATATAAGATACTTCAATGATTAGTTTCAGATGCCAAAAGAAGAAAACTTGAAAGTATTCCGAAGGTAAGAAATAAATGAAAATATAATATCAATACCATATCGATAAACAAATGTGTGTATTGTTAGCAGGAAGGTAGGAGAACAGAGGGTAATCTTGAAAAAAAGGAACGTTCTAGCAAAACAAAAATACGAGATGAACAAAAAGAACTTCGCAGAGAAAAAAAATTAGGACGAAAGAGGGTAAAAAATTACAACATAATTTCTAGTTTATATTCACATATTATGATTTTAATTATTAATCCAATATATTATTTGCTTTAGGATCGAGCAGAAGAATCTGTGGTAACGATTGAACAAAAACGAAGAAAAGATGATGAAAGAGGTTAGTATATAATTTTATTGGCATATATATGGCTATATACATATATGTATTTTAAACTATGTTACAGCCAAAGGAGTACATCAAAATGGAGATGTAGCAGAACACAGAGAAAAACATCATTATAGCAAGGTGAGTCAAATGTTATATTATATTTGTGTGTGTGCGCGCGCTCGTGCGTGTGTGTGTGTTGTGTACAAGCTATATTATACGCCCAAATTCTTATAAAAAATATGTTTCTCAACATTTATTACATTACATAAATAATAATTTCAATAGATTATAATATTAAAAAAATATATTTAATAGTCCAAAAAATAATGGAAAAGAATTTTATTCTTTTCTGCCTTTATATTACAACATTTCTTCTATATTTTGAAAATGTAATGTATATACTTTTTGCTCATTCTTAACAAAGGTCATACATATCTTTTACATCATAACATGTAACATCCTTCAGTGATAATTTTATAATATAAATATTTAATTAACTAAGGAATTTAATAGTAAAATAATAAAATAGAAAATAGAACCTTGGAAAAGTTCTTGTATTAAGATTTCTATTTGTATCATTGAGTAATTATAAATTATTACTTATGCAATCCTATTCTATTCTAGTCCTATTATAATTTTATTCAGAGGTAGTATAAATATTATGTATAAGATTATAAATAGTATTAATATATTTATATAGCTTATTTATATATAAATTAAAATATATAAATATATATATGTATGTATATATATATATATATAAAATACGTGTAGTGCACAATTCAAGTGCATAATATAAAACTATCTTTCTCGTCTTTTTTGCATTTTTTCACTCACAGTGAACATCATGAAATGTACTCAAGTACTTTTCTGTGTAGCCCTTGAATATTTTTGGGGAGATTTATTTGCAATGATTCCAATCTAATAAAAGGATTAAAAAATATCATTTTATTATTTATTTAAAAAAAATTTCATAAAGGAGTAAGTTCACATTTGTCTAGTTTTGTGTACTAAAAGTAAAATTATTATCATTTTTCTAACCTTGTTACTTGGCCCCTTAGTTGATAAAGACGTCCACTTCGAGTATATTGAAAAGATGAAACAGGAGACAGTAGCAAAGACGAGAAAACATAGGTGATACTATCAAGTACCCAATGTTAATCGCAGAAGTCACAAGGCATATAGGACATTTATCCATCAATATATTTTCAGGAAAAATCTCCATATACAAAGGAACGTACGCATGAACGCGAAGGACGAGAGAATAGAGACAAACAATATCCTTTTTATACAAACATATAAACTATATATGTATTAGTAGTTCAGAATTTTTTCAGAAAAAAAAAATATTTTAATAATTTAAATAGATATTTATCCTTAACAAAAACTTACTAGGAGGAGTTCAGATCCCAAACGAAGATGATGCACGGCAACAGAAAAAATGTTGATTTAACATTTTATATATTACGTTTGATGTTGCATGTAATTAAAGTAGAATTCGTCATAATAAAGAAAAAATAGTGGATAATTTGTATATTACGTTAACGTCCGATTTTATAAAATAAACTATTTCTCAATCAATTCATATTCTTCAATGTGCTCTTGCACTTGAATGTAACTTAATCATTTCTTACGAAAAAAAAATTGTTCACCACAAGTTTGTACTGATGTGTTAGTTGCTAAACAAATGTGAAAATTGCTTTGATATCCGATAAAAGTAATATATACTTATCAAGTACTTATTGTCTGATAATATTATAGCCAATAGAATAATTAAAACAAATAAATTTATAGTAAAACTTTTATCTTTTTACTTATTTGATGAAAATATAATACTGTATATATATATAAATGATATAACCTAATAAATGTATAATATTGTGTTGGTGTAATCAACTATCTGTACAAAATAAATTATCATTGACACTTTTGGACATACAATCTAAAATGTGTATAATATATATTATAATTAAGTAGCAATACAATTATAGTAAAACCTATCAGCTTTTATACTTTCTTCTTCTAAACGTTTCAGACGTAATTTAGCGTCTTGCAAAATATCCTCAGTGGAACTGCTTTCACTGACGATAGTATTAGTATATACAGTTTTTTTTGGTATTACAGTATCTTCGATTAATGTAGATCTTGACTGATGAATTTCTTCTAATCTACGGGATAGATGAATCGCATACTGCGTTAATTCATCTATCTTTAATTGCTGACCATGTAAAAGTTTAACTAATTCTTTCTTCTCTTCATTAAATTGTACATCTTTATTTTTATCACCCAAATCATTATTAGAACTTGTTTGTATTCCTGTATCCCTTAACTCATAATTGGAAGAAAAGCCTTTCTTTGTTATAGCAAGTTCTTCTTGCAATTTTTCCAAGTCACGTTCATAATTTTTATACATATCTTGTTTTTTTTTAAATCTGTGAATAATTCTATTATTGCTTATCAAACTTTTATGAGTTAAATTATTAAACGAATCTAATATTTAAGGAATATTACCTTTCATTTTCTAATAATAATGCATTATGTTTAAAAGATAATTCAATTTCTTTTTGAAACAAATCTTGCTCTTCTTTCTGTTTTTTTTCTTTTAATTGTTGTTCTTTTAAAGTAACCATATACATTAGTTCCTAAAAAAAAGCATAATGCATACGGGAAAGATAAATATAAGATGTTATTTTTAATTAGATTCTATACCTGTGCTTTTTCTAGTTTTCCATTCAAAGAAATAAGTTGCTCTTCAATAATAACAGCACGATTTTTTAATCCAAGTTCTTTTTCTTTTAATTGAGCATCAAAAATTTGTTTTTGCCTAAATATTTTCTTTTTTATAGACCTTAATCTTTCTATGTCCGTACTTGGTTGGAAAAAAGTATCTGTTTGCGTTTCTTTTGTACTCATTGACGTAGCTTTTTTAAAACTTTGAATTTTGTTTAAATCCAATGAACAAAATGATATACATTTTAATATACATAAAAGTAATGGTGCATCATTATTTATATATTCTGACATAATATACTGTCCTTCAGGATCACTTGGTCTAATTCCTAAAGTCTCTAATGTATGATATATATAATCCTTTTGTAATTTTTGTCTACTATGTTGTTTTTTATCATCGTAACTATCAGGTATTTGATTATCGAACTGTATTAAAAGTGGAGCTTCGCTAGCAAATACTGATAAAGTATAAGCATAATTAACATTAAATAAATACTCTGCTACAAGAAAGTCAAAAACATATTGTTTCGCTGGTTTCGGTTTACTACAGTAATCCTTTAAAGATAAATCTTTGTACTTTAAAGCATTTACTAAATTTTTACGAAGATGTGTTCTTATATTTGATATAATACCACATCTTTCAAACCTAAAAGTATAAAATTATAAAAGTAAATAAAAATGAACAACAAATATAACATGATTATGTATATATTTATCGTATATAAACATACCATGTATATACAGCGTCAGAATATTTACTATCCATGATATAAATAATATACGAATCAGGAGCAGCAAAAAATTAATACAAATATTTGTGAATAAAGCAGAACTATACCGTTATTTAAAGGTTTAATTATTGTTTGTGTTCCGGCAGTAATTACCAGTGGTCAAACTTTGATGACTCTAACGAGATATCGAATTTGATATCGATATTATCGATATATTTTTTATTATCGAAAATATAATAAAATATAGACCAATCAAAGGTTTCCCTATATACACAATCGAAAAAAATATGTATAATGGAATGTGAGTATATAATACAGTTATAATGTACTAACCAAATCAATAATTAACGATCAGATGCAATATACTAGACAATAATTAACTATTATTTTCAGGATGTTATTATATCTATTTATTCATGTTTCATATCAAAAAATGCTGATTGGTCAGATTTTATAGTAAAAGAACCAATTATACGATACAAATGTAAACGTTTCGTATAAAAAAATGTTTCAAGAATTTCACGTTTAATATAAATAAAATATAATTTTTGTAAATGAAATCAATATCTTATATCGTATCTAAACACTAAAATTACGTATAATCATAAAATATTGATATTATAAAAAAGCGTTTATTAACATTGCGTTGTTATTTATTCATAAGTGGCACATAATTCTTAGGTTTCACCTTTCATCGATTACAAACATAAATATCTGACGCTAGAACAATACAAGCGACTACATTCGCATAAACTCATAAGAACGATTAATATAAATACCGCATGTCACTTTAATGATAATGCAAGAGGATATTTTTCTTTAAATTCCATTAGACGTTGGCTAACCTGCGAGCAGCCTATTCCTAATCAACGGTAGTAGAGAGTGGCACCACCTATAATAGAAATATGATCTAACCTTTTTAATGATCAGGAAATAATACCAATGATTTGTCACGATTGAAAGGAGAGTACGTGTAAAAAATGAAAAGATAAAATCTCCTTTTCGACAGTAAACGAAAGATAAGAACGATGGTGATAATCAATAAAGAGAAAATGATTCGCTTTTAAGCGCAAGTTTTCCCGCCTTTTCCACGAGCAGACATTTTATCGAGGGTTAAAAAGAAACGCATCAAAACATAAAAGGTCGGCGCTGATTGGCTTACTTTTTGCGGCTTATCTGAAATAAGCCAATCGTAATGAAGATTTTCCCTGTACACTTCCATATGCCGCACAAGTAAGCGTGGGGTCGCGATATTCGAAGCTGAGAATCCTTTTAGCTGTATAGAGGACAGTTCAGGTAAGAAAAATCCAAATATTTTTCTTCGTAGGCGTTGACAGATTTCGGCGTCGCGCCATTGACGAGCGTAAGGATCGTGAGTGTACGACGATCACGATACGAGCTGGCGTACTACAAGGTGGCATCGCCTTCCGTTTTTGTGCGTACACCTTTTATTTTCTACACACAACTCGATCGTAGCAAATGGCTGCCCCCCGGGAGAGAGGAATGATGCGTGTTTAGGCTGTGTCGCGATCACGACGTGTGTTTCTCGTCCCGTCCGATCCTCGTCCTCGTTTTATCGAAGGGCGTTAGGACGTTTGTGATGCTCCGGAAGGCTAGGAAAGAGAGAAATGAGAGATCAAGAGCACACGGTGCACCGTGCGTGAACGAGGACGACCGGTGGTGCGCGAAACGCGTCGCGACGACGCGCGTCCTCGCGCTCGCTCTCTTTCTCTACCTCTCTTGCACATACACTCGTACACACCCACACACATACACAAGCACGTACATGCATTCTCTCTCTCTCTCTTTCTCTCTCTCTACTCCTCCCCTGCTTCCTAATATCTCTTTTATCGGTCGCTTTTCTAAATGAATCTCGCAAACACGTTCACTGTGGATGTACGACAACTCTTGTCGTCATCGTAATCATCATCGTCGTCATTGCCGTCATTGTCGTCATCGTCGTACATCGCGCCTCTCGCCATAGAAACGATCGGTGGGACCGCCTCTATTTGCAACGTGCATATAAGCCGTTTATACGCCACGTAAGAAATGGTGTGTGTGCGTATATATATATATGTGTGTATTACGTGCCTATGTATGAAATTCGCGGCACTTGCCGTATATTATTGTCGTGCGTCTATGTTGTGTTTTTGTTTTCCTTCGCGAGATCAACGAGATCTGCACGTTGCACCTAATTGAACGTCGATCTTTCCTTTCTTGTCTTTAAAATCTTTCAATTCAACTTAATAGAAAAAATTACTAAAGATTTAACGCGATCCCTCCAATCACGTAGCATCTTTTTTCGACTTTCCTTTTTTTTCGTCCTCATGTTTTTTACAAGTCGTGTGTCTCTCTCGTGATTCGTCAGTCCTCGTTCTTTTTTTTTCTTCGTTATCGATTAGTAGATTAGCCTTTTGTCTTTCTTTAACAAGTTAAGACAAAATAAAAGGTTGTGTTACGATTTATGATTCGCTAAGATGACACGAGAACTACGAGAAGGAGAGAGATAAAGAGAAGGAAACATCGTATATAGAAAATTTACACGTAAGCGTTGTTTTTCGCTACGTGCGCGCCATGCTGAGGGACTATATGTATATTACGTCGTATCGACGAATCTAATAGTGTAGTAGTAGTGTAATAGTAGAATAGTTACGTAGTATAGTATAGTAATAGTAATGTAGTAGTACTAGGATAGCGTAGTAGTAATAATATAGTTGTGTACTAGTAGTAAGATAGTGTAGTAGTAATGTAGTAGTAATAGAAGTGTAGTAGAGTACTACGATAAATGATATTTTACTTGACTTTTTCTCCGTTAAGAACAAGAGCGCACGCTATTTTATTACATCCTTACCGGTCATTGATATAGCAGTTTTAACGTCTTCGTTCGCGTCTTGTTCACGTATCAAACGCGACAAAGTTGATCATTCGAAATAGAAATAGAGAATGGAGGGAAAGAGAAAGAGAATGTATGTATGTGTACATAGAAGTGAGAGGAGAGTGAGAAAGAGAGAAAGGAGATAGAAAAGGGGAGAGGCATATGACGCGTTCGTCGTGAAAATGCTTATTACGCATCATTTTTGGGGGGAAATGATCACACATACACACACACAAAGTTACGATACACATGCAATCGTTTTCTTTAGCAACATCGTGCTGTCAGTTCTGCTTCAGCGCGGATTCGATTATCTTGCAACGGTTATACGTTTCCATTAGTTTCTTCTTTTCTTGGTTAGAATCGGAATCGCGTTATCGATAAAATTTTGTTTTTCTCTCTCTTGTTTACGTCTCTCTCTCTCTCTCTCTCTCTCTCTCTCTCTCTCTCTCTCTCTCTCTCTCTCTCTCTCTCCCCCGTCCCTCCCTCGCTCCCCCCTTCTGTTTCTTATTAAATTCACTTTCATAATACATAACGTACGCGTCTTAAAAAATAATACACAAAAGTTGTTCGCCGCCGCGCCTGTCGTCTTTATTAATCGTCGTAACTATAACTACGGGAAGGATCTTTCTACGTTTGTATCACGCTCAAAAGCGTGTCTAATATGTAGTATTATGCGAGATGTTTGACGCGAATCTCGTCGTAGTCGTCGTAGCCTCCTCTTACGCAACAGGTCGCGTGAATATAAATACAAACAGTTCGGATAAAAGTTGAGAGAAGCCGAATTTTCTCACGTGTTCTCGCCAAATATATTTCAAGGGAAAGACGCAGAGAAAGAGAGAGAGAGAGACAGAGAGAGGAGAGAAAGAGAGAGAAGACAACGAATAGAAAGAGAAAGGGAGAAAGGCTGAAAGGGAGATAGAAAAAAAACCACCTTCAAGGCAGACCGTGCATTTCTAACAAGGGAAATGTCTGTGACGTTTAATGTACGTCTACTAAGGTTCTTTGGTTTATGTGTGTTGTTTTCTTTGTTTTAGTTTTTATTTTCTTTATTATCTTTATAACGTTTTTTTTCCCTCTCTATCTTTATCTCATAGGACAGAGTTATCTTATTTGAATTTGTTGAATGATGTATTCACTGCCTTTTTTTTATATCGATATATGCATTGATTGATATATACTTGATTTCTTTCAAAGAGGATATCAATACTTCTCTTTATTTTACATCTAATAATAAAGAATACGAAATTAGGTTAGTTTACGTATATATATGTATGTATGTATGTACGTATGTATGATGTATGTATATGTATATATACATGCATATATGTATATATCATTACTATATTTTATTGTATCAAATATTTTTGTTTCGTGACTCCAAACAAAATAATGACTTAAACGATATATCGAATTTATTCCTATGAGATTTTATTATGGTTTTCTTTTTTCTTTTCTTTTCTGCATTATACTTTTATTTTATTTTTATTCCCTTTCCTTTTCACACATACAATAGTAAGAATATAATAGCTTACGAATATATTCATATTTTCTGTTACCTTGACAAAACACGTAAGACGCAATTACGCAAAGTTTTTACTATTTCTTGATGAAATATATATATATATATTTCGTCACGCTTGTGATATACTAATTATTTGGAATTTTTAATGCAATCTGATTACTAACGTAAACACACCTCTCTCTCTCTCTCTCTCTCTCTCTCTCTCTCTCTCTCTCTCTCTCTCTCTCTCTCTCTCACTCACACACACACACACACACACACACGTAATAATATTTACATAGCAACGACGACGACGATGATGACGACTGTGACTTCGGAATAACACAATTTCGTAAGATCGAGTTTAATTAAACGAGAAAAAAATGAAGATGGCAGAGCGATCATCGAATAAGAAATTTGTAAACTGAAATTCTAATTAGTCTCGTAGAATCATCACATCATTTTTTCTCGTACAAGAAAAGTTAAACGTTATGGCACTCTAGAGATAGAGAATGAGATAGAATGAGAGAAAGAGAGAGACTCCTCGTGACATTTTCCAATTATGATTCTTTTCGTGTCATCGTTGTAATTAAGTGGTACTATTACTCTGATACGCGATGTTGTAAGCCTTTATAACGCCTTGACCGAGAACAGACGTTAGAAGGTCTAGACGATGCTATATTCGTTCCTTTTAAATTTTAGTTTTATATCTTTGAGAGAGAGAGAGAAAGAAAGAGAGAGAGAGAGAGATTTATTCGGTGACAAAGTGCTTATTCATGGTACACGTGCCAACGTTCCGTACGTTAATGTTCCTTTCTTTATATGCACAATTACTAACCTATAAACAATATATTTTTTCTTTTTTTTTTCACGTCTTGTTTTTATTCAATACTCGTCAGATCACAAGTTTATGAGAATTACGCGTGCGCGCTCACACACACACACACATACACACACAAGAATAGTACTATAAAAAAATGATAAAACTCTTTAAACTATTTTTAATATTATAATAAGAATGTGTATACTAAAAATAGAATACTAAATTCTATCGATTTCAACGCATACATATAATATTTCGGCAAACACCGCATCGGCAAATCGATACGTAGTAGGTACGTTCCAAGTAGAAAACCGGTTCCCCGCTATATACTAAAGTAAGTTGAAAAACAATGAGAGATACAAAAAGGAATCGCGCCAAGCGTAAATGTTGAAGCACATTAATTTATTACTCGTGCCATAGACGGCCTCATAATCTTTTTTTTCCGCTCTCTTTTCTTTTTGTTTCCTTTTCTTTTCTATATGATTATATAAAAACAGAAAATCTTATTAATCGTTTGATATTATTAATGTAAATTAGTACGAGCGTGAAAGAGACGAAAAAAAAAAGAATATAAGAAGCTTTCTCCTATGAAGTTATCAAAGAGAAAAATTTGAACAAATTATTTGTGAATTATTATACAAGTTAGAAAAGTTAAATCGAATTGATCTTTATAATCCAATATAGGATTTAACGTTAATAAGATCGTTAGAAGAAGTGGTTTATTTCATTTCCTGTATGTTTAACTTTTGTTCCATTTAATACGCCGCGTGATATATAATCGAATATTTACTAATTATTTTCTTCAAAAAGATGATGAAAAATATTAATATATGAAAGGGTGACACGGGCGATTATAGTCGAAGAGCAAAGATTTAAAGAATATTATTAATTGTAAAGGAATAAAACGGCTTTCGAACAGTGGCGTGTATGTCCTTTTCAAAGGACCACGGTTAAAATATATATAAATCGTTTTTTGTGTTGCAGATTAGTCGCAGCTGCCTAATACTTTCCTCCTTCGTAGATTAGCATTTCCCGTTATAAACGGTCATGGGCGAAGTATGGCGAGTTATACAGAGAAACATACATATATCTATAATGAACTTTATATCTAATGAGTTAAATATCTTTCCTAACATGAAACGCGATATTTTGAGGAGAAAATCATAATAATATCGAAAGTATATATATGTTGTAATATATATATGTATATAGTAATAATAATGTCAAGTATACGTAGAAAAATATTTTTATGGAATATTCAAAGAACATTCGGTTAGATTGTTGGTCGGTTGGTTGGTTGGTTTGTTGGTTGCTTGGTTTGTTGGTTGGTTGGTTGGTTGGTTAGTTGGTTAGTTGGTGGTCGGTCGGTTTGAAGGAACGCGAGTTAAAAGATAAAACGAATTTACACAAAGCGGTGCAAAAGTTTTTTACACACACACACACACGCACACACATATTATATGTCTTGCGAGTTATATTAGACTTTTCGCAAAGGTTTCTTGATTTACTGTGTGTACCCATGCGCTTTAACTTTTATGTCTCTAACGTCTTCGTAAAACTACTAACTGCATTGATTGGTATTATTTTTTTTTTTTTTTTCTTCCAGTATCCTTCAAGACAATCGGATGATATATTAAGATTTTCATACTGTACTTTGTATCTTTTGAATATATTTCCGGTTATGGCAGGTATAATGCCGAAACTAATTCCAGATGGTTCTTTTTTGGAGTACATCTTTCGGTTATTTTCAAAACGTACTTTCTCTTCGCAAAATAAACCTAATATATTCGAACGAATACTTTGACTGTTATTTTATTATATTCTTAATAAATTGAAAATTTTGTTAGGTATACTATAATTTTTTAAACTAGAAATATATATATATATACACATACTTACATACATTGTTCGTAATTCGAAAAAGATTACTTTATATCATCGGCTACTTTTTATTATTTCCTTTCGCCTGTTTGTCGTTTCGTATTGCAGAAGAACGGTAGTTTATCTTCCAATGCTTTCTTGATGAGTATCGTTTAATCATTAACGTTTATAACGTGAAATGGTAACTTCTTACGTTTGCACTTAATTGCCGACATGTGGAATGCGCGTAGGGGTCTCTCTCTTTCTTTTGTTTTTTTATAAGCGTTCTGTTATTTTTCATTATTTTAATTTTATAAACTTTGACTAACCGAAACAATAGCCGATAATCATTCATCGTAAATTTCATTAAAGACGAACTATCAAATATATAGATATAGGTATTATTGCTCTACGAACAATTTTAATGTCTTTCAAATGTATTGATGTAGTGATATTATAGTTTGCCGCTAGGCGTCGTTAGATTTTTTGTATATTAAGATTTAATCAAGAAATTATTGTAAAAATATTTGGAAAATAGAAACTTTTAGTTTTTAGCCCACCACTGGGCATATTAACTGGAGATATTAAAAGGTATGAAAATATCATCCTTTCGTAGATGATTATTTTCTTCTAAAAATATTTTTAATTAATTTAATAAAGCTACAAAATCTCATCGAGAAAGTTATTCGTAACAAGAAAACAAATATCGTGAGTTTTTTATTTGTGAAAAGTTTTAGAAAAACGTTAAAAAAAGTTCATTATTAAACTTTGTTGATGTTACATTTATCAAAGAGAAAATCTTCTAGACAAAAGATTCTTTTTTTTAGTCATTACTTGAAATTCCAAATATGTATATTCATCAAATTCAGGAATTAATAGAAAGGCGAAAGTAAAATATATGAGAGAGAATTTCTTTCGAGGGTTCTTCTTCGTTTCTTTCAACGAAATATATAAATAACATTATGAGAAAACTTACATATGAGGAACATATTCGATGAATACACACATACGAATGAAACAATGATATTACATTTGATTTTCGAAAAGCATACGAAGCACGATAATAGATAAATATAATACAGGATGCATTATTTATTATTACTTTGAATTGTTATTACGATTTCCTCTAAATGAAATTAAAGCGATAGAATGGTTATGAAAGGCAAAGTTATTGTCCGTGTGTGATACCATTTAACAGGGATTACTGTTAGAACAGTTCTGCTTTATTGGACCTATTCTACTAATCTATCGACTAATAAGAAAATAAAAATATTCAATTATTTGAAGATATTTTTTAAATAGACGACTTACATCTTGGGCGACATCAAGCAAGCCAAAAAATATTTGCATGGAAATATTTAGTATATTACGAAGTTTACATATCACATTTTTCTAGCTTCGAAGTGTAAAATATAACAGAGATAACCCAGATGTCTCCTCATTTTGGTTTTACATATTTAGTATGAATTAACAATGTTAATATATGGTAATTGCTACATATTCGTTAGAGCACACCCACATACGTAATGACTTATCGCTTTGCATTGGAAACACTCGTTTCGATAGGAGAAATAATGCATGAACCCCTTTGGTCTTTTTTACATTTCAAATTAAATCAAGCCGAAGTTTCGATTTCGAATTTCAATCGTTATCGTTTTCAACCGCGGAATCGAATGGGGGAATTAGATTTTTAAGACTAGATTCTTGAGTCGCGTCGAAAATTCAGTGTCGACGAAAGGGTTGATTTTTGTCCGATTCGTCGTATTTTTGAGATCGTGAATGTTCGACCGAGATCGGTTCGTTTCGTTCGAGATCGCCTCGATCCGCTTGAACGAATGACGCGGCCCGACGGCGGCGGCGACGGCGGCGGTGGTGATGGTGGAGGTGGCAGTGGCGGCGGTGGTGGAGGTGGAGGTGGTGGCGGACTTGGTAGTAGTAGTAGTAGTGGCAATGGTGGTAGTGGATATGCTGATAGTGTGGTAGCAGCAGTACCAGCGAGAGTCAGGAACATGAACCCAGCTTCGTGCTAGCTAGCCCTGTCCCCCTTTCCTCTCTCGTTCCGTTTTCTTCTCATTTCTTCCTCCCCACTGCATTCTCTCCCTCTCTCATACATGGATACACATAATATATATGTATATATACATACGCACACATTCATGCAAAGCACACGACGTCCACATAGGAACATTTCCTATATCTACTCTACTCACACGCACGTTAGTCCCTGCCCCTCCATCCATGCCCCTCCCGAACGTTCCTTCGTCCCTCGTTCGCTCCGCCGGCCCCTTCTCGTTCGTTCGTTCGTTCGTTCGTTCGTTCGTTCGTTCGTTAGGTTGCCAATGCTTGGCCCTGGGAATGCGCGGCTCGAACGTACCTCTCTCTCTCTCTCTCTCTCTCTCTCTCTCTCTCTCTCTCTCTCTCTCTCTCTCTCTCTCTCTCTCTCTCTCTCTCTCTCTCTCTCTCTCTCTTTCTCTCCCCCTCTCTCCCCTCTAGCCATCTCTCTCCCTCATTCGTCTTATTGACCCGGACCCGGTTCTCTTCTCTTTCTCTCTTTCTCTTCATTCTTTCTCTCTTTCTCCTCGTTCCTCCCTATTTCTTTCTCTCTTTCTCTCTCTGATTCGTCGCGTCACCTCCAACTCACCCACCTCGTGTCCAAGGGTTGGGTGATAAAAGGA